AACTGTGCATATAGTTGCTGTCAATGTGGATGAGCTTTGTTTAATTCAAAGGGGTATCATAACCAGCTAGCATGAATGATATCATATAAAATATTATAAAATGAACGGAAGTAGCAAACGGCTAAACATTTGCATGTATTTTTGTCAACATCATTTCGTTTCACTCGTACTGGATGGTTCTTAGAAGAAATCTATGGCTATCCCAGCTATGGGAGCTTAAGTGCTGCTGCTAGTTGATTCATCTGGTTCATCATGTTCCGGAAAAATCGTTAAGTGGCTACTTGGTTCATATACTATCATATACTATCATATACTATCATATACCACATATTTTTCCGGATTTGAAGGAGAAAATCAAAACTTGGTGTTAAACTCAAAGATCTCCCAGGTCCATGAGTCCATGAGCGACCTGTGGGTTTCCCATGAGATTTCCGAAAACCGACGGCCATGGTATTCCCAACAAAAAAGCGACTGTTGGTTGAAACACAGTTTCTGCCAGAAAATGAACAATGTGAGGCCCCCGTTCGATAGATAAGTTGGTGAACATAACTCCAATAACTATGGTTTATGGTACTTATAACGAACTAGTTACTGGGGCGAATCTAAACCAACGTTCATCACTCGGGGGCCTCAGATTGAAGGAATTGTTGGATGTTTTTTTCCTCCTGAATCATCGCCAGGCTCAAGCAAGCTTTCTCACAGCACGACGCCAAGGTGTGCGGCACGGGCATAGGGATTATGACACGTGATTTACCCGTGATGATGTTGGTGATCTCCAGATGGTATGGAAAGCATGGATCCACAATAGTCAACTACATCCTGGTTGGTGGTGACTGGAACCATGGAATTTTATGACTTTCCATATATTGGGAATGGAATAATCATCCCAACTGACTCCATCATTTTTCAGAGGGGTAGGTCAACCACCAACCAGATAATCAACTACATCTCTACGGGTCAACAATACTTGATGAATACAATGGGTCAACGTATGATATCGTATGATGGTCATAGGGATCTCGACATGGTCACATGATCAGAACCCCCATGGCATCACCCTCATGATGACTCGTCATATCCCTATTGTTGTTGGCAAAACCCCATTATTCCACAACCAAAGCATATCCAAATGAAGTTCAACATTTTGAACACAATCCAGATATATGCAGGTCATTGATACCTTTTATCATAGCCTCATTCTGTCAGATCAACCATGACTCATTATAACAAGTATTTTCCACGTCATCATTCTTATTCACTATTCCTAGAGTCCTACAATGCTGGTACATTCATCCAGTCACCATTTTCCCATCCATAAACCACCATATTCATCACAATATTCCTCGCTGCATAGAGATTTTGACTATATAATCCACCACAATAACCCCGAAAATAGACTGGATGCTTGGTGGTTTGGAACATGAAGTTTATTTTTCCATATATTGGGAATTTCATCATTCCAACTGACTTTCGCATATTTTTCAGAGGGGTAGGTCAACCACCAACCAGTTACCCTCTGGTAAACTAACATAACTATGGAAAAAATCACCATTTTGAATGGGAAAACTCACTATTTCAATGGCCATTTTCAATAGCTATTTTGACATAACCAGAGGGTAATCACTAATCCATCACAATATTCCTCCAGATCCTGCATGTCAGGAGAAGAAGCGCTTCGCCAAGATGTTCAGCAAGATGCAGGAGGAAGCGCCCGACGCGGACGCGTCCGCGGACGCGTCCGCGAGCGGCAACGCGGATGAAGCAGCGGTTCCAACGCTTCCAACGTCCACCTCGGAGGCTAGGAGAGAGCGTGGAAATAAATCATGGTTCTTAACGGAAACACTATAGAAGATTATAGAAGCATATATATATGTGTGTCTGTTTTTCTGTTTTTGATGTGGAAGTTGATGGAGATTTCTGGAAACTGATGGAGTGTAGCCAGTACTTTGGAATCTGTCAGGAATTTCAACTATTTTTGAGATGACCGCACAGAAATTTGTGATTGTGGCACATGCAAATTCTATTTGCAGCGTCAAGCGAATCTTATCTTCCTGCGAGGCAGAGAAAACTGAATGAGCAGAGTGGCTTTGTCGAAAAAACAAACGTCGCTATGAATCCCACCCCCGGTCATAGAAAGAACATCAGGGTTTCCAAGGGGTTATTTGAGATTTGGGGGAAAGGATTATATATATATATATATATGGATTATGTATGTATATATATATGTATGTATACATATATATATATGTATACATACATATATATATATATGTGTGTACTGATGTATATATATATATATATATATGTATACTTATATTTATATACATTTATATGTACATGTATATATATATATATAATACAACTTAGTTTGTATCTACCCTGGGTTATCGGCCTCCAGATTGACTTGGGATGAAGTGGTAGCCCGATCGCCATACCTTTAGTGTCCAGCCTGCCTGAAGAATGGACGGTGTCCAAGCATATTACCCTCTGGTAAACGTTAACATAACTATGGAAAATCACAATTTTTAATGGGAAAATCCACTATTTCTATGGCCATTTTCAATAGCTATTTTGACATAACCAGAGGGTAAGCACGGGTTTTCCAGTGATTGTGCGAATCCCTGAGTTTTTTTTTGCAAAACACCCTGGGTTTTGCCACAAAGTGTTCCAATGCCGGCCACAGGTTCCTTTACCAGTTTGAACCAGAATGATGCGATACTAGTTCTTTGACTTTGTTGCCTTTCAGCAAGAATCCAGCAGAAAAGACCGGGTGGGGTATTTGGGCCTAAAACACCACTAGCTCTTGGAAGGTTTGGACTCCGGACCAAACTTGGGCCCCATTGGTTATTCAAGGGCAAGTCCAGCAAGAAAATCATGGGTTCCTGGCGTCCTATTTAGACCCAGAACTATATATGGATGATCTTTTCTCTCCTTGTGCAATTGATTGACAAGCATCCCACAGGAAAACTTCTTGTTCCCATAAGATATTTTGGTTCCAAAATTTAGTTCAATTTTTAGGCTTTTCAGCAATCACTTCGTCCAGAATTCTGGACTCAGAATACAGCCTTTTTTGTTTCACTTAAACACATGGGACAAAAGTCCTGGTCACCTGGTTGCCCATGAAAAATCACCTGTCGGATCGTCCTCGGTACAGTTCGTTAGGCTCAGAACCAGAGGGCAGATTCTTGCAGAATCCTGAGAAGAAAAATCAGTTGGAATCCATAACATGAAAATCATCATTCATCCCAGTTATTCCCAGTTAATGGAAATCATTGTTCATTGAATTTCATTGATCATTAATAATGGAAGTCATCAGTAATCTATCCTTGTTAATCTGTCCTTCCTCAGAATTTTCCTTCGCACGGCCACATACATTGACGGATGGATCAGTGGTTCATCTCACCACATCCACACGACAGCGGAGATTTCTCAGAGATCTTAGTTTTCATGAATGTTAATGTTAATGCATGTTAACATCAGATCTTAAGTCATTTCTCAGTCTTGTAGTTATATAATGAATGTTTTCATGAATGTTTTCATGAATGTTTTAAAGAGAACTCAACTGTTTCGAAGCATTTTCCGGGTATTTTGTTCATCCGGTTCTGGCATCACAGCTCTGGCGAAAAAAGCCGGCAGAATTCGGCCTTTTCAATGGATGGACTAGACAACATCCTGGCTGATTGGCAGGGATGCAGGACTGACAAGCCAGCGCTGCGCTGCTGGACCTGTTCTTTTTAAAGGAGTTGAGCAGCTAATGTGAGTGATAAGAGCGATGTTTTCAGAGGAGTTCATTCGAATTCAGATGTTGACACTGACTTCAATGTCATTTTGATGAAAAAGAGTTGACTTCCCAAGTTTTTTTCGAGAAACTGCTGATACTTTCCAGTTCTTTCCCTCTGCACCGAGCTTTTCCAGTTTCCACAAAACTGCTGTCAAGTTGTCCAGTCCCAGTCGTGCATAAATTGCTTTAGGTTACCCTCTGGTAATTTAACATAGCTCTTGAAAATGACCATTTATAGATATTTATAGTGGATTTACCCATTGAAAATGGTGATTTTCCATAGTTATGTTAGTGATTAACCATAGAAATAGTGGATTTACCCATTGAAAATGGTGAGTTTCCAGTTTGTTATGTTAGTGATTAACCATAGAAATAGTGGATTTACCCATTGAAAATGGTGAGTTTCCAGTTTGTTATGTTAGTGATTAACCATAGAAATAGTGGATTTACCCATTGAAAATGGTGATTTTCCAGTTAGTTATGTAAACGTTTACCAGGCCGGGTAACGTCAAATCGAGATCCATTGGCTTCCAGTGGTTCCAGTGGTTCCAGGCCAAGGGGCGCTGTCCTGCCAGTTGAGGGTCTGACAAAGGCGCCTCCGGCTGCGATGGGTCCAAAAGAAACATGTGATCTTGCCCTAGTTTACCTGCATTGTACATATACAACAATAATAATAACAATGATAATAACAATAATAAGACTAATAACAATAACAATAATAATAACAACAATAATAATTATATATATTATATATATATGCATACATAGACCATTATAGACCCATAGGGTTCCTGACTTGAGCTGCCATGGTGACGCAACATGTTTTCTTTTGTATCTGCCTCAGCTCCAGAGCCTCACGCCACAGATGCATGCTGCCAGGGTCCTCAGACTGGTGAAAGGTTTATGGGTGTTGATGTTTAAAGATATGAAGAATTCATGGGAATAATGTAGGAAATTTTCCTATCTGAAAAACTCTTGTTTCATCATGAAAAAATATGGGAATATGATCATATATGTGTAATATATTGGTAATATAGAATGGTAATACTTCATGGGATTTATGTCAAAATATATCACAAATATCACTTAAATTTCATCTGATCTAACTGGGTGCTTCGAACAGGGGATCTATGGATTTCCTCAGCAGTCACTTGTCGAAAATTTCATACGGATTCGCCCTGATTCACCCGAGGAACTACTGAAAGCTGGTCCACTTCTCAGTTCGGAGTGACATGCGACAGGTCCTGCGACACGGAGGTATTCAGTGAGAAAAAATGGAAATATGACATGAGGAAAACTGGAAATATGAAATTTGATGAAATTTGATGATTTTTTTCAATTTTAATGAAATAATGAATAACTATACCCTGCGCACACCCAACATCACGTGGCATGTTAAAGCTTCTTTTAGTTTTTTCAGAGTACTTTGAGACTAGAGCTGGAGACCTGGAAACAATCCTCGCAGGAGGATCATCCCACGAATCGTAGCGAGGATCAATGACCCTTTTGGAATCTCTATCCTTTCATATAACCCCAGAGTAATTTGGCAGTGTGTCAAAACCTTGTACCTCTGGTGAACATCAAAATAGCTGGTAAATGGATGTTCATCCCACTAAAAATGGTATTGATAGGTATTGATCCATACCAATTTGAAGACCGGCTCCGATTATCCCATGGTCAGGCCGTCATCTCAATTAACGTTGGGCACTGACTGGGACCTTCCTCTCTGGCTGTTGACCTCAAGTCGTGACCAACTCTGGTACCAAGTTGGGCAACCCCACAACGTTTTTTTTTTGGTAGGGTGTACATAAAGTTTCCCCATTAAATGAGCACGTTAGCTATGTTTGATTTGGGACCTACGATGGAAGAAATCCTGCACCAGTTCATAGGTGGTTTATCCGATTATTTATAGGATTTCAACCATCCAAGGTGGTGCAGGATTTCTTCCACCCACAGTATCATGACTTATCACTTTTTTTGTAATACAATGACAGGGTATACCCGTATACCCCTGGCAATCCACTATAGTTCAATAGTTTATCATGATATATTTCCCACTAACAATATCTAACAATCGACTAGTTCAGTAGCTTATCAACGTCTATCATGATATTTCCCAAATAAAGTAGTTCCCAATGTTTCCGCATATTTCCCCATATATTTGTCCTAATATTTCCCAATATTTCCCACTATTTTTCCTAATATTTTAATTCCAATATTTCCCACATGTAGCCATGACAATTTGAACTTGACAAAGAGGTGATTCCTCCCTGGCGGATTCCTCGGTCATCCACTTCCTGCACTTTTGGAAGGCGCGACAACTTTTGACGGATCAAGCGATGGGAAGATACCGATGGAAGTGATGGGTTGCCAAGGATTTCCCTTAAAATGATCGGCGCTTAAATCATGTGGGTTATCATGGCAGAACTCTATGGTTATTTGACTGTGAATGGTTATCTACAATTTTTTAATAGACTATGAATGGTTATTCTATGGTTATTTTGAATGGTTATCTAAATGGCTTGCAAATAGTATACTACTTTAGCATTTTTCCTATCTGCGTGCAATCTGCAGCTGGAATGTCGTTGCAATAATATGCGCTAGCTGATCATTTTGCTGACCGACAGGGACTGTCAAAACTCATGTTGAGTTCCATGATCCCTCATAGTCACTGGGATGTGGGTAATATCTGTTTCAAAATGGCTGGGGATACCTTGAAATGGTTATTTTCAGAGAATGATGTTCCAAAAACCATGGGAAAGGCTGGGAAAGGGGGGTTGGAATTCCAAAGCCGTGCAGGTTTTAGATCAACTGCGATGCTCCGCAGTGGAGGAGGTTCCAACATGGACGCCGGGCTCCCGTTCCATGTTTCAATAATGGGTCGACGACAATGGGGCATCAGCCCCCACTTTCTGGCAACTTTGATAGGAAGAATTCGGTAGAATGATGATAAACCATGATAAACCCATGAATTTTCGCATCCAGCTTCATATCAATTTATGTTTCCAACATAGGGATGAATCTTGTTTCATTGCCTTTCACTGTAACATGACTATGGACCTGGAGAAAATGTTGGTCCGTTTCGACCTTCATATTTGCTGCCAGGCGCCTTTGGTCGGAGAGTTGCGAGCATTTCGCGAAACGTTGCTGAATCGTTTGGACCGTTGTAAACTCAACTGGGAATTGGGACATCATCGTCTTTCAGGGCCCCAAAAACGTTTTGGATGGCATGCAAGTCTGGTTGGTGGTGACTGGAACTGGTTTAACCAATGGTTAATGATGGTTAATGATGGTTAATATCTGGTTGGTGGTGACTGGAACCATGGAATTTCATGACTTTCCATACATTGGGAATGTCATCATTCTAACTGACGAAGTCATATTTTGCAGAGGGGTATACGTCAACCACCAACTAAAAGTAAATCATGCTTATTATTTTCTTAGACCCCATTTTCTGCAGGAACCCTGGATTTTCAATATCTCTTCCTGAGCTTTCCGCTGTCATGGGGCCATGGCTTGCGGCCGGAAGGACCGGAATGGTGGTAAGATTTCAAGCCAATTCTTGGCGGAGGCAGACACCGAAAAATGGGTGTATCAATTGCATAATATGTTTGCTCCCCGAAAATGGAGGTACAAAACCAAGCATTTTAACAGGATAAAGTGAGGATCAACTGCGGGTACGATTTAATATCCATCAACAGTCTATGGGATGCATACGTGGGGATACTTGTATTTTTCGGATAAATGATGGTACAATGAATATTAATGGAATATAACTACCAACAAGACGTTTTGGGTGTGTCTAAAAAAGCAACATCTAGTGAATCTAGTGGTTGAGTTTTTTGTTCCCATTAAACGATGCAAATTCCGGAGTATCCGCTGTTTCTGTGAGAACAACTGAGAACAAGCACATTGAGCCGTTACAAGTGAGAGAAGATGACTTTCCCGTTGGAGACATCTTGTGGGCTTCCAGCCATTTCGTACATGTCATTTACCCAGATTAATTTATTCACAGTTCGATGTTCACTCATCAAGTTATTGACTTATACTTCTTATTCAATCTTATCCCATGAAATTTCATTTTATCCATCATTTGATTGATACACCAACCTTTTAGTCCAGTTTGTTGAGTCATGTTTAAGTTAACATCTGGTTTCTGAAATAGATAAATGGATATAAATTATATACATGGTTTATTTGGCCCATTTATTCCATAAATGGCCCATATTTATATCCATTTAGTTAACGATGCTCTAGCCCAATGACCACAGGCCGTGCGACGTGCACAGCGCAAGTCCGCGGACACCTCTGCCTGGCGTCCCTTGAAGGAGAGGACTTGGGAAGATTCCATGGATTAATCTGTTAAATCTATGGTTTATGGTAAATATAACGAACGGTTCGTTCATGGGGGTTATAATAACGGTTATAAGTTATGGTTAACATAACCAACTTAGATCCTTAGATTTGGGGGGCCATCCGACGTAATTTGCAACTGAACGGAACTAAGTGTTTGATGGTGATAAACTCCGTTTCACGTATGTATATATCTGGGTAAATTATAACGACCTCACTGTTCTCCCTCACTATAATCATATTTAGTAAGGGGAATCATCCCAAAATGGCCGCAAGATTCAGGGTAGTGAAATATTGTAATTTACCCAGAATAAATGAATGTGGGATAACATATCCATTGGGATTATGAATCCATTTTAAAACATAGGTTTATTCTATGGATATCATGGGAATATCCTGGCTGATTATTCTATGGGATTATCCTGGCTGATTTTATTGGGATAACATATCCAATGGATTAGTAGTCGGAGCATTAGGAATGATAGTGATTCCAATTTGGTTACCTAGGAAGCCCCTTGCACAGAGCTGGTGGTTTGTAACCCCAAACGATAAGGCCTTGCTGGGAGAGATGGTGGCCAAGATCGCTTGGTCGGGTCTACCTAATCACTGTACGGATGATTGCCGTCATCAAACAATCAAACATTCCAATGGGAAAATCGTTGGGAAAATCATCTATTGGTCCAATATACCCATGGGTGATTCGGCCATGTGTTGATGACACTACCCTCTGGTTATGACTGTTACATAGCTATGGAAGCCATGGCCCTAATCGAAATAGATGGTTAAATCTATGGTTTATGGTACCCTCTGGTTATGACTAACATAGCCATGGAAAATCACCATTTTTAATAGGTATATCAACTATAAATGGGCCATTTTCCATGGCAAACTGTTAGTCATAACCAGAGGGTAAGTGTCCTGGCACTCTCTCCCAGACGCCATCCATCGCCAGGACGTCGTTACGAATTTGACAGCGGCAGAGACCGCTGCTGGCTGGTGGGGACAATCGAGTTCCCGGGCGCTCAGTGGGGAGAACCTTGAGATTTGAAGATCAACATTTTCATGGTTGATGAAACAAATAAAAAATCTGACCACAGGAAAATAATATAAAATAATGGGAAATTCGGCAAGGCGATCGATGTAAATATTTGGCAGAAGCAACTTCGATGTTATTTCTTGCCATCCAGGCAGGTAAACCATTGTTAACCTACCCTGTTTTTTGCATATAGTTTCCAGATTTTTTTCTGTTACTGATTTATTCCCAAACGCAACTTAACTCTGTGATGGTGGATGACACATATTCGACATATTTGTATATATGTGTGTAATCTCCTTCCTTGAGTGGCATCCCTGTAGTTTGGGGATTGTGACATTGAAACCATGGTGTTTTTGCATGTGATTTGTTTCGAGCCACTAGAAATTCTTGGTCTCATCCCCATGTTAGTCGGTTAAACACGGTTTCCGATCATGTCAAAAAAAACCTGTTAGTTGGTTAAGCTGTAACACACCAGGTTTTATTGGTGTGTTACATCCTTGTTTTTTCGAAAAGAACCATGGTGTGAAACCACATCTGAGGTCTCAAACTGGCCCTGGACGAATTGTCTACCTTGCTGTTGCCCTGGCTACAGGAGATTTTTGGTGCCATGTGAAACCGCTGATTTGTTCCCATGGTACTCGCAATGTACGAGCTATTTTTATGGGTGCACAGAAATTTACCACCCGCAAATTCAGAGAGTGTTTTGCATCCAAGATTGGCGAGGGATGGGCAGCCACGAGAAATTCCACCAAAAATGATCGGGGACATGGCGGTTGTTATGGAGTCTTAGGGATCAAGGTTTGCATCTCAACTTCGGGAATCTTCAGGAACAATGCAAGTTGATGCGCGTCCTCGATTTGGTACAAAGGTTGAAGGGAAATAATGAACAGAACCCCCAAATAAATCACTGAACAGAGTCGTGGTTTCCTGTAGATTTCCCCCTTAAAGAATTTGAACATTCAATGATATATATATATACAAACACTAAACTTTCAGTTGAGCTTATGGAGTTTTTGTTTTGAGATGTGACATGATGTACCCCTCTATCAGTCATCTATGTACAGATGACTGCGGTCCTGCAAACAATCTGGCCTTTCCCTTGATTCCCTTGCCATGTTTATGCCAGCGGGGGGAAAACCGCGCCAGTAGTCGTGCATGTTTTTCAAAACACTCATGAATAGTATTCATGTTAACTTGCGTCACATGCACATGCTGCGTCACGTCACTGGGTTGGGGGAGGATGTTAACGTTCATGTTAACTTGCGTCACATGCGCATGCTGCGTCACGTCACTGGGTTGGGGGAGGATGTTAACGTTCATGTTAACTTGCGTCACATGCACATGCTGGGTCACGTCACTGGGTTGGGGGAGGATGTTAACGTTCATGTTAACTTGCGTCACATGCACATGCTGCGTCACGTCACTGGGTTGGGGGAGGATGTTAACGTTCATGTTAACTTGCGTCACATGCGCATGCTGCGTCACGTCACTGGGTTGGGGGAGGATGTTAACGTTCATGTTAACTTGCGTCACATGCACATGCTGCGTCACGTCACTGGGTTGGGGGAGGATGTTAACGTTCATGTTAACTTGCGTCACATGCACATGCTGCGTCACGTCACTGGGTTGGGGGAGGATGTTAACGTGCATGTTAACTTGCGTCACATGCACATGCTGCGTCACGTCACTGGGTTGGGGGAGGATGTTAACGTTCATGTTAACTTGCGTCACATGCACATGCTGCGTCACGTCACTGGGTTGGGGGAGGATGTTAACGTTCATGTTAACTTGCGTCACATGCACATGCTGCGTCACGTCACTGGGTTGGGGGAGGATGTTAACGTTCATGTTAACTTGCGTCACATGCACATGCTGCGTCACGTCACTGGGTTGGGGGAGGATGTTAACGTTCATGTTAACTTGCGTCACATGCACATGCTGCGTCACGTCACTGGGTTGGGGGAGGATGTTAACATCCATGTTCACTTGCGTCACATGCACATGCTGCGTCACGTCACTGGGTTGGGGGAGGATGTTAACGTGCATGCTAACTTGCGTCACATGCACATGCTGCGTCACGTCACTGGGTTGGGGGAGGATGTTAACGTTCATGTTAACTTGCGTCACATGCACATGCTGCGTCACGTCACTGGGTTGGGGGAGGATGTTAACGTTCATGTTAACTTGCGTCACATGCACATGCTGCGTCACGTCACTGGGTTGGGGGAGGATGTTAACGTTCATGTTAACTTGCGTCACATGCACATGCTGCGTCACGTCACTGGGTTGGGGGAGGATGTTAACGTTCATGTTAACTTGCGTCACATGCACATGCTACGTCACGTCACTGGGTCGGGCCTCCAAAAATGGAGGCAAGCTGTCAGTGATCAAAAAGATTGCCAAAAGGGGATCCAAAGCTGAGCTGTTGTTCACTCACTGTGGTCGACATGGGCAAAATGCTTCCTCGTGTGAAAGTCTAGGACAGAAGCTGTTGTCATTGTTGCGGAAAAAAACGTTCTGCGGCTCAGTTACAAGACTTTTGGAGGATGAACTCCAAAACCAAAAGCTTTTTGGAGGTCACTGGTCGCTCCTTGAAGAACCGCAAAAAAAACACCGCGCACCTTTTCAAGAGAAAGTTCCCTGTAAATTACTGGTCATCATCAAAAAAGCACTTCAAATTCCCGGGGGGTTTTCAAGCCTATTTTGGAGAATGAATCAATAGTTTTGCTTTGGCGAAAACGGCATTTTCAAACCGCTCACAACCCCTGGCGCAGTTTTCCCCCTCGACGGGATGTTTATGTAGCAAATGGCACGTCGACTGAAACCACACAAACTCTCAGTTTGCCTGCAGTTGTTTGTAATTTTTAACCCCTTTCCTGGCTGTTCCAACCTGTGGCTCAACAGAGAAATTCATTTCGGCTTCAACTGAAGCAGTCGTATGGAGCCATGCCGCAGCAGTCTAAGGCGTGGCTTCAGATCATTGGGTCCTAAAAGATGAGAGATTTTGTTGGTAGATTGTTATAGATGGTTATAGATTGTTTAGATGTTGATAACTTAAAGATGTTGAATGATGTTGATACCTCTGGTCCCCATCCTACATGAGCTCTGCCAGACTTTTGGTGGCAACAAATGGGTCGCCGAGTTTGGGGGCAACCTGAATTCATGACTTCACTTGTCGACCCGGACCCATCGGTGGAAGAGTAGTTTTCAGATCCCCCAAGATGGTGAACTTTTCAGGTTTCTGAAACATGACCAATATTTCTGGGTATCATGGTTAATAAGTGGAATCATGGTTAATAAGGGGAATCATCCCAAAATGGCAAAAAACAGGTTAGTGAATCCTTGTAATTTGCTCAGATATGTTGAGATGTTCCGAGACAGATTTCATGTTGAACAGAGTTGTTTTAAGATAATCTGAAAATTGGGCACACAAAATTAAAATTGATGGTTTATCACCCTTCCGCATCAAACTTGCCATTTTCGGGTATTCGCCATTTTATACGACACTCTCCAAATCTTACATTGTCGGATTTATCAAAGTCTTTTGCCTCACTGTAGATGTATTTTTTCGCAGGTCCATAAACCCATAAAATCAACTGTCCGTCTCGGCCACTGACATCAAGGTGAATTACCAGAGATTAGTTTGTCCGAAGTTGGTGGAAATTGCATCCGAAATCGGAAGTGCCATTTCAACAATTTGAACTATCTTCGAAGTTTAAATCCTTTCTGGCGCTTCATCTCCCCAAGTGAGCGATTTTGCCGTTCCAACTGTCAAATCCACAGGTTTACTGTTTGAATACCAATGTTTTCTTGGTCGATAACCAAGACATACCGGGTTCTTCAACAAGAGCAGCCAACTAACTTGAACTCTAGCGAGGACAGTTGGACACCCCTGGTCCCCCAATTTCAATGTTGTGTGAAAGCAGTGCTTCGCCGAGCCTTGTGAAAAAAAAGGCCATTCTTGCTCCGGCCGTTGAGAAGTGATGGTTAGCAACATTGATGGGGGCTCCCGGTGCATGTTGAAACTTTTTGGTCGATGGCTTTTTTTGAAGAACCCGGTATCAACATGTATCAACTAGGGTGTCGGTTTCCGAGCCTCCGCAGTGCCAATTAACCGAAAATGATGGCAAAAGGTGGGCTTCAGACTGCTGAATTACGGTCAGTCCTGGCATTCCTACGAATCAACATACCAACGGCACGCCGTTTGTTCAGGGACCCTTCAACGCAATGACAGGCACAAGTTAATATGTTGAGACGACAAAACTTGATCAAGACCTGTGTGAAATCATGAACGTAGAGGCTTTGATGTGATCAAAAGCCTTTTCATCTTCAGCTCGAATTCAATGCATGATTGAATCGAAGCAATGCCTCTTCTTATACCCTCACGGGTGAATTTACCACATGGGCCACTGAGTGAAGAAGCGTTACGTGCCCTTTTGGCTGGCTATCAAGCAGGACGGGCCCATGCCCGTGGTTCTTGCTTGTTTGCCTCTTTGGGCGTCCTGGAAATTTTTCTGGTAGCCTTTTCCTTTAAGGTGTGTGAGCAGAATAGTAGAGAAGGGTCTTGCCAGCTGTTCCAGCGGCTGTTGCAGAGTTCGACATGGAGGCTGCTCAGCTTCTCGACGGTGAGGTGTATGTGCCCACCGTCACCTTCGTGGCAAAGGTGAAAGCAACAGCAATGGAGCTGAAGGAGGAGCCGGCGCTGGTCTTGAATGAGATTTGCTTGCCCCCAGATCTCCGGAGCCTGCGAGCAGATCCTATGCTCTCGGGAAGCGGCTGCTTCACTGTGTTGTGCAGCCTTTGGGCGCAGTGGCATCGCGCATCCTTACCTGCCCAGATGGACGCCCCATGACCGCCTATGTGGAGATGACCCGGTTTATTGGTGAGATTGGAGGTGGCAGAAGCTCAGAGCATTCTGTGGTGGAACCCCAGTCATCATCCTGCGGGCCATTCCAAAGCCATCCAATTCTGGGAAGCTATAGGCTTCAAATCGTGCGTCAGTGTAGAAGACGAAAGGTTTCTGAAAGACTTGGGGCTCGTGGAGTGGATGGAGGCGAAGGACGATTGCCTCCGATTGCGGTAATGGAGAGTAGTATTCGAGGCATCCCTACTTTTTGGAAATGAGCTGGGACATGGAAAACCATAATACGGTCTTCAAAAAACGATAACATTTGCTGGTGTTCGATCTTGGTCATCAGCCATGCTTTGTCTTATTGTGCAGGTTATTCGATGCTTTACGTAGACATTCAAAAACGTTCACCATCTGTTTAAGAGATAGGCAGACGGAAAAATCCTCGGTACCTGGTGATGTGCATTGCCGTGTTTATGCTTTTTGCGTTGCGCGCTAAGTAATTTTCAAGTACTGTACGGCCACATGTCAGTCTTTTGCCTCAACTCTTGCTAGCGACAACGCGCCATGCTGGCGAAAGGAAAGAACAAGGTCTTGCTTTGCAGCAGGAACAGTGTGTGTGGGTGCTCTTGGTTCCGCTCTTTTCCTCTATCCCTTTTGGTTTGTGTTTTTCGTTTTCCACGGCAGCCTCAAGCTTTGTTCAAGACAGCCTTAAGAGTTTTCAAAAGAGGGGTTTCCCAGAATCATTGTTTTGCCGATTTTTTTGATCCGATCAGGTGTCCCAAGCAATAACCCGAACGATGGCGAAACGATAACCAAAAAAATCACATAATCCTTATCCCCAGACGCTGGCCCATTTGCTGGCTAAAAATGTTTTTCTTGGCCCACGTTGCTTGTCTAAGATGAGCAGCAAGCAAACGCAAGACATGGCAAGCCTCAGATGTTTCCTGAATGAGTCAAAATTGAAGATCTGAAAACGAAGTGTTCGTGCGAGAAATCCTTCAAAACTGAAAGTGCAAGATTGTGAAAATTAAGCTTTCGTGCGACAATCTGCCAAAGTGCAGACAGACATGGCTGCAGAATTGAAATCAACAAAAAAACAGGTTCGCATGCCTCGCCGGCCTGGCGTTTGATGACACATGTCACAACTTGCAAGCAATAACCACTAGTTGTGCTGCTGTTGAATCCCATTTGTCGTTGGTAAAATGCCCGATGTTGCAGGTGGAGAAGGAGATCCTCGCGGACATTGAGGAGGACTTTGCATTAAAGAGCAAGTGCCGGGAGTTCCGCGAGAAGTTGGCGAAACGTGCGGATCGGAAGAAGGAACGACAGGAGGAGAAAGAAAAACAGCAGAACCTGACCTATAAGATGATTTGGGGTGGGAAAACATACATGGACAATGGTCAAATATTGGTAAATTTGAGGCTATATAGTAAAATCGGAAAGACTTATTCGAAGGAAGGCTGGTGGTTTTTGTTTTTTTGTTGGACATCCATGAATTTGAATGGAATGATGATCCCGGATGATGAACATTTTTTGTGAGTGGCTAAATGTTTGTTCTGGGAGCTTGGTGGGGGTTGATTGTTTGTTGGGGGGCCTTGGGTAGGTGAATCAAACAAATATTGGCAAAACATCCAGAAACCATGGGGGATCACGGGACAGTTTGCGTTTTCTTGTGGGACATCTTGAATCTTGAAAATACACGTTTTTTTTTGGTATATGTCAAAAAACAAATGATCGAAACTAGATGAAACTAGATATTTGTTTTTTCAAGGGAAAACCATCAAAGAAAGAGATCAAAAGGGGACGAAATCAAACAAACCATGCCAATCATTTAGGCAAATCAAACCTGGGATATGGTTGATCAGTGGTTTCAAACTTTGTGACCCTTACCGGTGAATGGTCTAGGGTCAAAACCACCGTTTCGGGCATCAATAGGAAAAATTGCAATTCGGTACAAGATGAACCCCCTAGATAGTTAAGTTATTTTTTGGTTTTGCAAAGTAGGGTTCATGGAGGACATAATTGTAGTTGATGGTGTTTATAAACCAACTTATATTTGGCGGGGGCCACATTGTATTTATATATCAAGATGTTTTCCTGTTGTACCTTCCAGCACTTCCAAGGAAGGAGAGCCAACAACGAAAAGAGCAGAGGAGAAAACAAAAGGAGACTCAACGTTACAATTACAAAGCGGCTCGGCCAATTGGATTGAAAGTATGCAGAAGCAGAAACATGCTTTCATTGACAGCAGTGGCTATTTACAATTTATAAGTATGCACGTGTTATATCCAAATTTCCTTCTCATGGGCATGTCGTATCTTCATTATTTGATCGTTTCCGGTTCTATCACCAGACCAAAAGCCAGCTCCAATATAGTTCATAAGTGCCCGATTTCTGCAAATGTCCCTGGATTATCGCCATAACCTGTGTCTTATCTAGTTTTTCAGCAGCTTACATGGTTTCACAATGCTATACACATAATATTTCAATATGTCAATCATCCATCATTTTACCCCTCGGATCTCATACAAAGCACCTTCAAAAAGCAACCCAAGTACCCTAGTTCCTAAGCTCCAATGTTGTTTACAGCTGTCATATGGCGTCATCATGTTTCTCAATGCCATGGATTTGCCAATGAGTGTTGCTGACTTATAGGTGTCATCATGTTTCTCAATGCCATTTTGCCATGAATCACCAGGAACCGTTCAAGTACAATGCCTCCGTGGGCCAAACCTCCCAATCGCTGGGTCTGAACGACGAGTTGGACGAGCCGCAGAGCCCCACCAGTCGCGGCGGCGAAAGCCGCGGCGCGGAGAGTATCGGACTCCGATCGGAGGCCACGAGTTTCAGCTCCAGGCGGGGCGCGGCTGAAGGATGTGGTGATCCTCAACAAATCGCAAAGACGCTGCATGAAATTGAGAAGAAATCTACGAAGATCCAAGTTTTCTCTTCTCCGAATTGGTTCGCTTTAATTCATCTAGTTTCCAGTAAACTGACTGATTTTACATGCATGCATGTAGTTTATTTCGTTTGTTGGCTAAAATTGTTAGTTTGTGTTAGTTTCATTTATTCATTCACTTCTTGAATTCATGTGTTTAGTATATTCATGTGTATATATATATATATACACACATTCATATGTAGTTATTTAACCGCCTTCAGCGTGTCCCGCCGGCCACCATGGAAAGAGCTATCCTGTAGGCTGCAAAGAGCCCTTGCACAGGCCCAGCAAGAACATGGTTTTTGTGTAAAACATTGTGTTTGTGGATAACACAGTTTTTGTGTGAAACAGCTCTTTGTGTAAAATATTTTTTGGACGCAAAAACATTGGTTTCGTTCAAACCACGGTTTAAGTTTAAACCAAAACATGTGTGTAAACCAGGGTTTTGGAAAAGGCCATATTGAGAACGGCTTTGGAAAGAGCTATATTTAGAAAGGTTATGCGTGTAAAAGGTGTTCGGCACAAAAGCCAGTGGACCAAGTATTGGATATAAGAAGGGACGGAGCAAACCGATGGCAAACACAACAATAAACGGAAACAACCCCTTGAAATGACAGTAAGATGTGCAAAAGCAAGCCGAAGTTGTTGAGCGAGGCGTGGGCAGAGTTGAGCCCACCACAACGTAGGAAAGATCAACACGAAACGAAGAAGAGTGAGGTGGGGGGGAAGTGGGGGGAGGAGGGGGGGGTGGGTTCAAGTTAGACGAGGCAAAAATCCGCGCCAAGAGGAAAGTCTAGACAAAGACAAAACAGACAGTACAACTACGAGCAAGATCCACAAGACACGCCGGCAGGCCGGTGGATTCACCATTATCGGGGAATATGAACCACATATAACCAACCATTATTTCAGGAATATTGACAAATATTAACCATATATATGGTTGATATTGGTTAATATTGGTTAATATTGGTTAATATATGTGTGGATTGATAAACCATTATTTCAGAAAAACCAATATTAATATATATATAGATATACAATCAATCCACACATATGGTTTTTCTGTACCCTTTCCGGTTCCAGGGCGCTGCGCAGCAACACCACGGTGAGCGGTTTCTCCATGGCCTCGCCGGATGGCTCCGATGGGCTGCCGGATAGCGACGACGAAGGGGCGATGCGGCGGAAGAAACCCATGAGTCGCCAGACCACCAGGACGGGATTGGGCTCGGCGTTGGAGCCATGGATTTTTCCACGTGGAGCCATGGATATTGGTGATGGATTGATGGATGTGAGAAAAATGATCTTTGATTATGTGTATATACATAGGATGTTATGATAGATGATGTGTATTTGTTTTTAAGATATATATATATATATAGAAATCGATATTTGCACGATCTAAGATCTGACTATACCTGGCTGTATGATGTGAATGATCTGGTTTTTCTGATTTAACATCACAAGTTGGAGATGATCCCAGCTCATGGGGCACCACCTTCTGGGTGCTCATGTGCTGATGACAGACCATGTTTGGTGATTGCTTGGTGACTGGTGAGTCATTGGTAATTGGGGTTAGTTACTGTTGGTTACAACGTGAAATCTACTGTTAGTTGCAACTGTTGGTTGCTGTTAGTTCCTGTTAGTTACTCTTAGTTACCACTTGGTGAAGTACGGAATATCAAACGTGAAACCGATCTGTTTAAACTGAACCATAGGAAGAACGTCAAGAACAATGCACCCATTTTGGGACCCCAAACAACAGTGCTCAAAAACCTTTGTTGGTTGATGTTCTAACCCCCTATTAAACGAAGCAGTACAACAGAATGACAGATGGTTGAAAACTGCTTAATCATTTTGGTTTGTGTGCAAGTAGAGTATATAATTATCCAAATTAACCCCATTCCATCCACTGTTTCACCATCATCTCCCGCATCTTGATTCATTTGATGGCCATACATTGTTCGTAAATCCCCCAATGTTCAGACAAACATTCAAATATCATACACATTCTTGGTTAGTTCCCATTAATGTCCCCAACATATACGTATTCATGTCCCAATGAAGATGTGGGACTAGCATACCATTAATGATTAATAAGGATATAGGACCAACATATCCCATGGGTTAGTTCTTATTATCCCATTAATGTACCGAGGTTTCCTAACATAGGGGTGCCCCCAACATCATCCATTTTAGCAGGATTTCCATGAAATAAACCATTCAGCTATTGGTGTACCCCCATTTATGGAAGCCCCCATTATCTTAATCAATGTATGGTATATTTTGATTATATCCCATAAAATTATCATCCCACATAATTTGTTTTTAGTCCCATATAATTAGAAATATAATTATAGATCCATATAATGGTTATTAATTCCATTTAATTAGACATATACTTATAGTACCATATAACGGTTATTAATCCCATTTAAATAAACATATAGTTATAGTCCCATATAATAGTTATTAATCCCATATAATTAACATGATAATTATCCCATGAATGTATGTTTTTTCATGGGAAAAGGCCCTCATTTTCTCGCTGTCGCCAGGAATTCCTTGAAAGGTCGCACTACGAGTGGAGTGCTCGAGGACCGGACCGAAAATGGTGGGATTTCGGGACCGAATCGGTCATTGTTGATGGGATTGTTGATGGGATTAAAAAACCATATTTTAACCATCCATGGATTTTGGGATATCATACCCAAGAAAAAGCAGACAAAACCATGAATTATGGTATTTTGCTCAGATATCCATTGAAACATCAGTTGAGTATTGCATTCACAGACGAACAGTCAGTCTCATGGTCACCAGCAACGGGTTGTCTCAGACAACTACACAATGCACGTCTTGCGTTTTTTCTCCAATTTGTTGGCCACTTGGCAAATTCCTTCGTTTGGGCCACCGTTTTTTTCCCTATGAAACTGCCGGAGTGTTGAAATCGCTTCAATGATCTACGAAAATTGGTGCCAGTTTTTTCCCCAACTTCCCAGCTCAGTGCGCACTGCTGGACCTCAACCTGGGACCTTCCCAGCTCAGTGCGCACCGCTGGACCTCAACCTGGGACCTTCCCAGCTCAGTGCGCACCGCTGGACCGCTGGACCTCAACCTGGGACCTTCCCAGCTCAGTGCGCACCGCTGGACCTCAACCTGGGACCTTCCCAGTTCAGTGCGCACCGCTGGACCTCAACGGCCACCAGATAGAATGTCAGATAGAATGCCAGAAGATATGCCAGATAAAATGCCATAAGATATGCCAGATAGAGTGCCAGAAGATATGCCAGATAGAATGTTAGAAGATATGCCAGATAGAATGCCAGAAGGTATGCCAGATAAAGTGCCGGAATGTTTGCCAGATAGAATGCCAGAAGATTTGCCAGATAGAATGCCAGATAGAATGTCAGAAGATATGCCAGAAGATATGCCAGATAGAGTGCCAGAAGATATGCCAGATAGAATGCCAGATGGAATGCCAGAAGATATGCCAGGTAGAATGCCAGAAGATATGCCAGATAGAATGCCAGAAGATACGTCAGATAGAACGCCATATAGAATGTCAGATAGAATGCCAGAAGATATGCCAGATAAAATGCCAGAAGATATGCCAGATAGAATGCCACAAGATATGCCAGATAGAATGCCAGAAGGTATGCCAGATAAAGTGCCGGAATGTTTGCCAGGTAGAATGCCAGAAGATTTGCCAGATAGAATGCCAGATAGAATGTCAGAAGATATGCCAGAAGATATGCCAGATAGAGTGCCAGAAGATATGCCAGAACATATTGCAGAAGATATGCCAGGTAGAATGCCAGAAGATATGCCAGATAGAATGCCAGAAGATATGCCAAATAAAATGCCAGAAGATATTTCAGATAGAATGCCAGAAGATTTGCCAGTAACAAAACGTATAAATGTCATGGTGGGGATAACTCGAAGTAAAGTAATTTCCTTTCGGCCAAATCCAATTGTATGGTTTGGAGTTCTATAGCCACATATAGCAGCGATAGGCACAACGTAACGTCCCTTTTGAAACGCCAAGCTTCGTGAAACGTGGAGGATGGCAAGAAGAGCAAAGGCACCCTGGGCGTCCTCAGTGGTGGTCTGAAGAGCACCGGAAGGAGAGTGGCAGCCATCGATCTAGGGAGGCAAATGAAAGGTAGCAAATGTTATATTATTCAACAAAGGATTCATAGTCATCAAACATAAGATGTTTGATCCTTTGTAGTTGAGATTTGTTTCATTTGTTTCGCTGCATGTTTGTTTGTTTCACAAGTCCAAATATGTGGATATCATGGAGAAATATGATGGCTGATTGATTACAGCAAACCTGAAAAAATGCAGATGTGACATTGAGCGAACACAGGTAAAAACCCTGTTTTTGAGTCATAGTAGCGTCTGTAAATTGAACCTTGTCTCCATCTTTGTGGGTTTGTGGGGATGCAGAACTATACCAACAATACAATCATTGGTTGCTGATGGAAAAAATAATTCAACATTGGATTGTTATTTCCTTGTTGCCACAAGTAGAGGTTTGGAGTCTGCTGGACTACTTTAAGGATTTAGGGATAGTGTATCACAGTTCTTCCCAAATTTCTTCCCCATAATATATCCCAGTTGTGAAGGTATCCCAATTTTGAAGTTCGGGCATACAGTTGAGATATAGATCGCGAAATTGCGAAATACATCCATCCAACATTTGGGTTTGGCAACTAACATGTTTGCTCATGACCCAAGTTTTTCGCTCGGGGGTTTCATGTTTGGGCGGGTTCATGTTTGATATTTCGAGCGCAACTATACCAACAAAGGGGGGCATAACACCATATACTCAATTTGTTTTTTGTTTTTCAATATGACTCATTTACAAACCACTTATCATCAATTCAATGGTTGGTTGTCAAAGTCCAAGTTTAATGAAGTAACTCAACATTTTTGGTGCTTGAAGTGAAGTCACCATCAGGCAGGTTGGCTCCAACCTATAAATTCTTGCCACAAGGCGGGAAAAAAACTGGTGATTTTCCTTAGTAACCACCAAAACGATAACAAACAGTGGATCTATCACTATGTTAGTAGGATTTTACAAACTGCTGTGCCTAATAACTAAAGTTTATTTAACTCATTGTTACCCCCCAAGAAGCCCAACTGGTTGGTGGTTTGGAACATGAATTTTATTTTCCATTTTCTATATGGGATGTCATCCTTCCCATTGACGAACTCCATCATTTTTCAAGATGGGCACATTGCACCACCCACCAGATATTATTATTAACCATCATTAACCATTATTAACTATCATTAACCATGGAAATCCTATTAAAATCCCATTAAAATCCCATGGGTACATTGCACCACCAACCAGCCAGGGCCGTATCTTGCTCAGCCCGCGGGTTTCGTCAGGACGGTCCTGAAGACTGGCACCACCATCGGTTTACTTCTGGGCGTCGTTCCCTCAAAGACTTCCAGGAGAAACAACCGAAACCCTTTTCGAAGCCTGGAATCATTGTTACCCTCTGGTAATTTGTTACATAGCCATTCTAGATTTACCCATTGAAAATGGTGATCTCCCATATAGTTATATTAGTTATCAGAGGGTAATAAGGGGAATCATCCCAAAATTGCCAAAAAAACAGCTTAGCGAATTATTAGTTATAAGCCCTGATGGATTGGACATGATTGGATCTAATGATAAAGCTGGGATCATGTGGGTACAAACTTACAGAACAAATGGGCTATGAAAAAACGCCCAATTGCTGCTGAGTCATCTAAGGATTGTTGGCAGTGTAAATCGCACAAATTGATGGTTTAGATTATCATCATTTGGGTTTGACTCTCGAGAAATGCAATTTTGCAGTATTCCCGTTTGGAAACTAGAGTCAGAATGGGGTTCATTGGAAAAGCTTGAAGCGTGATTGTGAGGTAACAATTATTTACAACATCCAGGAACCAACAAAGCCAACGTGGTGGGCATTCCTACGAGGATACCTCAATCCAAATATCCCCATGGTTCTTGGACCCTCATGACCTCGTATCAGTGAACTCCCCACAATTTGGACTGGAGAAGATCTAAAAATCTAAAAACCTAAAGAGACTTCAAGATTCTAGAGATTTAGACTTCAAGAGATTTATGATTGGATTTAGCACATTCATATCATTCAGATTCCCAAGCCGATTTAGCCATGACCCCGCGCCAGGGACTTCATGGTGCGAAAGTTGACCCGCTTCTTTCCATCCAGATCAGAGGTGGGCCAAATTCGTCCTGGAGAACCCGAGTCCTCAGCACCGCGGCACAACGGACGCGTTGCCGGACATCGGTGGAGTGAATTTCCTATGAAGTGAGGAAAATCCCGCAACATGAACTCATTGGTGAATTCTAAAGTGTCAACATATCTGATTTACCAGGTGAGATTCACGGTGAGCTGGGTGAGGTTACGATTTGCTTAGTGTATCTCCTTCAAAACTGCAGTTTCCCCAATGTTTGATGGTTATAACATGTTAAATATGGTTCAATCGCATGAAATCACCATTTTTTCTGGGTGAAATCCCCCATGGACCTCCCCGTTTTTTCGTTAACGCCCAGCGCTAAGGGCTCAGATACGGATGACAGCGAAGCAGAACGGATCAAGGAGGAGCGAAGAAAGAGATTTGCGCAGACTCTCGGTGGAAACGGGATCAAGGCAGTTACAATACAAGAGAGATCCTTTATATGTACTTATATGATTTTATATGTCTCTATAATTGCTATATGTATCATACACATTATTACATGTATATACATACATAATTATAATATTCAATATTAATAATATATATATATATACACCACACATAATACATGAGACAAGTGCTTGCTACGTTGGAGATTAAGGAGATTGTTTCATTGGGGATAAAACTGATTGGAGATGATATCAGTCGGATTTCAACCATCAGAATGGCTAAGCATTTTTTCTCTTTATATTGGGCAATGAGCTATCAGCTCAAGTGAATAGTTGTATTTCATGAGTTTGAACAAGTATGATTTATAAACCTTGAAATCTTATGAAATCATCATCTTAAATCTTACAACTATCCTAACCCAAGCATCTTAGCCCATCAATCCTAAGTCTCCCCGTGTTTTTTCGCCCAACTGACCCAGGAAGGCCTCCAAGAGTTGGAATTCCATGGAGAACGCCGGGGAAAACGTGAAAGTTCGCGCGCGCGAGGCGGTCGGCTACCCGGAGACGCCCGAGGACCATGAAGCCATGGGACGACACGGCGATGGGAAGGGATGTTTTTTTTTTAAATACTTTAATGATACCCTCTGGTAATTTAACATAGCTATGGAAAATCACCATTTTTAATGGGAAAATCCACTATAAATGGCCATGTTCAATAGCTATGTTAAATTACCAGAGGGTATCAGATTTACCCTCTGGTAATTTGTTACATATCTATTGAAAATGGCCCATAGAAATAGTCTAGATTTACCCATTGAAAATGGTGGATCTTTCCATAGTTATGTTCTTTACCAGAGGGTATATACTTTAATGATATCTGGGTAAATTATAACGACCTCACTGCGACCGAGCCCTGGGAATCATGGTTAATAAGCGGAATCATCCCCAAATGGCTTTAATTCAGGTTAGTGAAATATTATAATTTACCCAGATACTTTAATGATATCATATATAATTAATGATCAAATGTATCATCCAACAAAAAATGGTACCATTATATACCATTACCGTTATATACCATTATATACCATTATATACCATTATATACCATTATATACCATTATATACCATTATATACCATTATATGTATCATTAATATGACTATGGTATCATTATACCAACCAGTCAATTCATGATATCATTAATATTATTATTGACTGGATGGTTAAAATGTTTTAATGATACCAACCAGTCAATAATATACATATATCATATTATATCATTCTTTTTAGGTATATATATACAATGTTCAACTGGTTGGTGGTTTCAAACCATGGAATTTTATTTTCCATAGCATATATGGGATGTCATCCTTCCCAACTGACGAACTCATATTTTTCAAGATGGTTAAAACCACCAACCAGATCAATATGAATTATATAAATATATCAATAGACATCATAGAGTATCTATTTGTTTTTTGATATCATTGATGTCTATTGATGTAGTATCTATGTTTGTCTATTGATATGTATATATATATATATATATCGATTGGTTAGATACTTTATGTGATTATGATGTGTTATCAATTTAAATGATGTTTAATACATGGAATTGGAGATCCATAGAATTAATGGACTTCTACGGATATTGATACTCGTAGTACATGTACATGAAACATTCATTGATAGTGTGTATGATGATATCTCCTGGAATCGCCTCGATTTTTTCCGTCAAAATCCCTTTCAAATGGCTGCGAAAAAAAGTCCTTAAATCCTTGCTAGCTCGCTTCAGATCAAAGCATCTAAAGACCTCAACTAGTCAGGTCTCAAAACAGTGAACAAATCTCCAAAACCATGGAGTTTTTCTTGTTTACCCTCTGGTAAACGTTTACATAACGAACTGGAAAATCACCATGTTTCATAAGTAAATCCACGAACTAAATGGTGATGTTCCACTTCGCAAACTGTAACAGTCATTACCAGAGGGTACATCTCCAGGCTTTTCTCGGTTTCTGCCTTTCTTCTCCGCCCCGTTGGTTGCCGCAACGCCGTTGAGAAATCCAGGAGTGGACGTTGTCCTTGCGGTTCCAGAAGGTCACGGGCATTCTTTGGTTTCGTGCCTTGGATTCCTTGGATCGCTTGGAATTCGATGGATCGCAAAAAATAGGGGTTGACAGCACCCTAGGATTATCTATATCCCATAGGATCCATGTATGGTATATATATATATGCTAAATTGGGGGTATATTGATGGTAAATGTTACCATATATAGCATACATGGATCCTATGGGTATTATCTGGTGAAATAGTGAAATCATATTTTTTTTTTACTCATATATGACAATTATGCAGCACCCAAGCATTTATTCATATATTTATCTGGTTAAATTATAACGACCTCACTGCGACCGAGCCCTGGGAATCATGGTTAATCAGGAAAATCATCCCCAAATGGCCGCAAGATTCAGGTTAGTGAAATATTATAATTTTCCCGGCTATATAATATATATATATGTTTGATTTTATATCATAAACACAATGATAGCACAAGGATAAACAACCATGATCATCAACAGTGATCTAATCCATAAAAAAACACACATCATGCACGTTTCGATAATGATGAACATGTTGAGATATTATATTTGGTTCATGATAGCTTGATTGTTTGATGAACATCAATGCCAGATGACATAGATGATGAAAGAAAACAATATGGATCATAGAGGAAACTAGAGAATATTGCAGAAACAAAAACAATTAACTTGTTGCATATCATTCATGGTGCTGGCGGGTTGTCCTGTATATATAATAGATGGCATGGGTTTGAGATAGATGATGATAGATGGGTTGTTACAAAAATGGGATATAACTGCCAAAAGTTGCAAGTTTGAAAAGGGACCATCTTGATTACCCGATGGATTTACGTGGTGTACCCCATTTCAGACAAAGATGATACACGGTGGATGTGTGATGCAAGTTTCTCAACCAACAAATTCTACAGATCCATTTGATTCCATTTGCAGATAATTTTGATCAGTTTCCTGCAAAAAAAACCTAGGTTTTTCATGTCGTGGGTTCCAAGGCATGTTGATCGCGGTGCGAAAGATTGCGATCCAAGACAACCCTCCGCAGCTGGCTGGGAGAATCCGAATCCCGCGTTTAGTTGTTGGCAAGAATTGAGGATGTGATGGCAACATTGAATAGGGACTTAATGGGACTTCAGCAATACAAGTTGGGGCCAACAAGCCCAACTTTTTTCGAATGGTGAGATAACCCATGTTTTAGCTACAGGGGATAGGTCAAATGTCAATGAGAACAACTCTTATTGGCCAATGGTATGGGTTTATCCATAAAAGTGCTGGTATACGGTACGGTATACTGAGAGAAATTTCCCCTTAAATAAAAAACGTGGTACAGCTTCCCTGTATAACCCCTCGTCTTTTGGAGATTTTTGGTGTAATTTAATTCCAATCTGCTGGGCAAACCCAAGGAGGGTATATTCCAATTCTTGCCATTCTTGAAATCCCAACTATTGCTGGCTAAATCAGAAAGTTATATTCCCACGATTCACCACTAGTTTGTCCAGAAATCCACATATATATCCGAGTAAGTTCAGTTTTTCTGGTGAGGCTGAGCGGCTGAACGAAATTCAGAGGTGAATCACTGACAAATTTCAGGAATTCGTGTGATACTTTGAAGGGAGGATGTACATACCCTCTGGTAAACTAACAGTTTGCTATGGAAAATCACATTTTTTAATGGGTAAATCCAGTTTAAATGGCCATTTTCAATAGCTTTTTGTATTGTTTACCAGAGGGTAAATATATGTAAATATCCAGAATGACATGTCAAGGAGGATTCTGATATCAGCCCTAAGAATATATGAACTTGTTTTTTTCCACCACTTCCGCTTGGAAGAACAAGGGCACGTTTTTGATTTGAAACACTCTGGAGGATCGTCCAGCCTTACCCCCTCATCATTGCGGCTGGAAAATCTGCCTTTTACTTCGTTGATTACCTCCATTTAAATGGGATTTTCAGTTGCTCTTTTTGATTACTAGAGGGAACCTCATTGTTTGTATAGGATATTAACTCATTGTCGATTTGAAATTGATGGCGAGCAAGAATACCGCAAGGATTTCTCCATCTTCAACAAAACATCCCATGGTTTTCCGTGAAAATTTTGGTGGGGCCACCATTACTGGTTGGTGGTTTCAAACATGTTTTTTTTCCATTTCATATATGGGATGTCATCCTTCCCATTGACGAACTCCATCATTTTTCAAGATGGGCACATTGCACCAACCAGATTACCAAGTTCCCATTGACGAACTACATCATTTTTTCAAGATGGTTAAAACCACCAACCAGTATAATATATATATATACACACACCATATATGTATATATATATATATATTAACCATTATTGGGGACCATTATTGGGGACCATTATTGGGTTAAAAACGCACCAAGCAGCCAGACCACCATAAGGCATCCATCGCTGAAGAAAATGGTGGAATCCTTGCGCTTCGAATCTGCCATTGGTGCACTGATCGTGGTGAATGCCATCATCTCTGGGAGTCTCGGCGTCGGCTGGGACGTAAAATCGACGTAAAGCTGCGACGTTTTCGACCGGGGTTGTCAAGGAGGTGGGGGATGGGTCATGGGTCATGGGTCAACATTTTTCGATAAGCCCTATGGAACCAGATATTTTAGTATAATATAATATATACATATATTATATATATGTATGTAAGTATGTTTATAGTTTATATCATCCAATTAATTATTGGGGTACCCAGATTTGACCTGGTACACCAACAAACACCTTCCGTCGGATGTCGTTTTTAACAAAGCCCAGTTCGGGGATTTCCCAACCAGCCATGCGCCAACAGAAGAGGTTTTTTTTTCTGTGTTAAATCCATGTAAATCCAGCAGAATACCAGCAGAAATACCATCAGAATATCAGTGTACACTTTTTTGTTTTACTCTGGATTTTTTTCAATCCAGAGGGAAACTGACTGATCTTTATACGTTTCCGAATTTTGGATGTTGAGATTGTTGAGTACTCCAGACATGGTTGACATGTTTTGCTGGAAGCTCCAAGGATTGATGCTATGTACAAAGAGGATGATGACAGGACGGTCGATCATCCGGACGGTCGATGGGACCGAGGGAAACCACAGAAGTCATAGGGCTACCCGGGCTCCCCCAAATCATCCAAGAAATTGACCATTTTAGTATTGAAACCATGCGGATCCCCCATGTTAGAAGACCTCCATACATACATTGCATTTGCTTTGCACCACTTCACTTTTCTTTACATGCATATATTTTCGTCTACATTCTCTGCGTCTTCTTACGCTTCAGTAAACTGACATAGCTATGGAAGCCATGGCCAATTTATAGGTATTTACCCTATGAACGCTTTTGATTTCCATGGCTATGCAAACGTTTACCAGAGGGTAATGAAATTCCCCATACTGCTTATCATTTTTCCAGTTTATATCCCATTGAATCCCAACATATTCCTAGATAACGTCAACGAGTTGTTCCTTGCCATGCAGACATTGCTCCGATGGCCAAATTTCAGCTGAGATTTCCAAGCCCTTTACGGGTCAACAAGTGGGATATATCCATCAAATATCGCAGCTTAATACTTTAGTCTTTTGAGATAAACAAGGATGTATAGAGCTAACCAGCGACAGATCTTAGATTAGCCATGATTCGTTTTGACCGTTTTTTCACCCCAATTGATTGGTAAAGAATGATGTAGCTGACCTAACATAAATGTGATGTCCGTGGCAGGCCTTCCTACATCACTGTGGCGGAGAACATCTTTGTGGCTTGGATGATGGTTTCGAATCTCTTTCTATACCCTGTGGTAAACTAACATAGCTATGGAAAATTGCCTATTTATAGATAGTTTACCTATTCAACATGGTGATTTTCTATAGTTATTTTGGTTTACCAGAGGGTACTTTCCATCTCGGCGTTTTTGAACTTCCAACATCTTCCAGCCGCGTGATGATGCTGTTGGATATGGGATGCTCAACCCAAACCGCCAGTGAACTCTGAATGGTCTTGCCGCTGAATTATATTCCACGATTCAAAAAAACATGAGCAGGTTTAGGACAGTTATAATTTCAGAATAGTATATTCCACTATTCCACCAAATTATTGGGTGCATAGGTTTTGGAATGGGTTTAGGGTAGTGCACCCAATACTGACTCATTTCGTGACGATGAAATCCTCTGAAGTTTTCAAAGATGTAATCGCTTTTCTCCATCCCCCAAAATGGAATGGCAGTCTCCATAAGAATTAACTTGTTGTGTGTTCATCCCAATTTTGTTCGCAATTTCATGCTACACCGGCTACACCTTATTTGTCTTGCATTGTTTTTTGAAACCAGCAGCATCATCATCAATGAGTTCCGCAACAAAACAACACAGAACATCAACGTGATCCCAGGTGACCCGGTGTAATCCCTGATGTTTTTTTAGGCGCCACCAGCGTCGCGTCCAGCCATCGAAAGCGACAGGTGGTGATTTTTGTGGGTGAATATTTCTTGCGGCTTCGGGCAGACACCTGGGTCTGGATGTTTGAGCCCATGAATATGTTCGACACCTTCGTGGTGCCTTTCTGAATGGGAAGGAATTCCGCCGGAGGGTTTTTAAAACCGTGTGAACAAAAAGAAGGGATGTCCTTCTTTGAAAAGGTAATATTGACTGGAATTACCAAGAACTCTGGGGATTTTGGGTTGTTGAAGTTTCACGTCAATCCAATTGAGTGTTGATGCTTGGGAGTCTGTTTGGGGTTTGGGTATCAACTGACTGGAAATTGTTGAACATGGTGGGTGAGAATGGGTTCATGTTTATGACCAAAGTAGAACATTGCGCTGACAATTGACGTTTGATATCGTTTGATGCGTTTCCTCCAAAAGGATATTGTCTTGTCTTGCATTGAGTGTCATTTTTTTCCTCACTAAATTCCACAAACGATGAGATGGTTGTACAGTCATACGGCTGCTATCACCCCAAACATCCCTGGGTTCATGGATCTCACCCCCTATTTGGACAATTTTGTACCCATTATATCACTACATTGCCAATATCTAAATTTTCAAGATATAGATATATTAGATATAATATGTTCTTATCCATTTAAGCATACATTGTATTTAAAACATAAAGATAGACACCACATTTCTTTCTCCATGAATTTCCCCAGAATTTCTCAGGTTTTCGGTCACCGACATTTCTGTTCTCTATGTCCCCAAGATTTTCCAACCTAATATCTCCATGTTCCAAATCGCATGATACCCTGTGGTAAACTAACATAGCTATTGAAAATGACCATTGAAATAGTGGATTTACCCACTAAAAATGGTGATTTTCCATAGTTGTGTTAGTTTACCAGAGGGTATCCCATGATTTTTCCAGCATTTTTTTCCAGGTCTGGGTCACTGGCGTCCTGGTGGTTTGGATCTTGGAACCCTTGGGATATCCCATCGACTTCCTACGTCGCCTGGCTGCCTTGCGCGTCTTGCGCCTGGGACGCCTGGCCCGGGCCGTCCGGATCATGCCCATGTTCCACGAGCCACGTGGCGAAAAAACGGGGTGGGTTTGGTGGTCGAAAATGGAGAGTTTCAATGGGATTTGAATGGGATTTAATAGGGTTTTAAATGGATTTTAATGGGATTTAATAGGGATTTAAAGGATGCAACAGGTCTGCTGGGAATGATTCATTAAACTGTTAATCTGTTATGAGTTTAAATAAATTTAAAGATGAAGAATATGTGGTAAACTCTGGAATATCATACAATAGACCTATGTTTATTTCATTGGGTTTACTGTAGTATGTTCCAGGAGACCAGTTGGGCTGTGGGGTGGTGTTCAAATTCTGGGCTTCGATATCCCTCATGGCAGGTGCTGAGACTTGGCGACGAACCGGACAAATTTTTCATGAAGCAGATTGGAAGGATTGACTGAAAATCGGATATCAATGGTGTTTTTTCAGTGATTGACTATATGTTACCATCTGGTTATTTAACATAGCCATGGAAGCCATGGCCCATAGAAATAGATGGTTTACCGTTCTTAATAGCATGGTGGATCTTTCCATGGCGAACTGGCAATGTCATAACCAGAGGGTACCTATTTTTGGGGATTATGGGAACTGGTTAGCCATTTGCTGATTGGAATTGGTGACCCCACTTGTGATAGGAGGTAGGTCCAGTAGTCAAAAAACAGCACCAGCAGCACCCAGTTGGAGGTGACGGATGTGAAGTTTGATCTACAAAAGCGACTAACAGTTTGCGAACTGGAAGCCATGGCCCATAGAAATCGTGGATTTACCCATTGAAAATGGTGATGTTCCAGTTCGTTATGTAAGTTTACCAGAGGGTAAACTATATGTTTCATCGATTTTCCATGTTTAACCATAGATTTAAGAGATGACTTTCCATTTTTACATCTGTGTGACTCAATCAGATTTCAAGCAGAAAACAACGGGGATGACGTAGAGACTCCTGGCGACAACCCAGTCGACTGGCGTCGTTTTTTCGAGGCTGTGGATGTTGGTCAGTGGAGTGTTGGAGTGTACCCGACTTCTCTTCTGGTCCTTCGCAACTCGGGTTGGTGGCTTCCATCCAGAGTCGTTTCGTTTCGCCGAAAAAAATGCTGGCAATGAATTTCTGGACTTTTATGATGGACGATTTTTTATGGGAAGTTGAAAAATTCTCACTTCTCTCATGGCTGTGGTTTGTAGTTGGGAATTTGAGCCCCAAAAAAGGTATTTTTAGTATATTTTAGTGTTTTTTTTAATAGTAATATATACTTTTTATACCATTTCTTTGAGGTGTTTTGGAGGGTCGCATGGTTGATATGAGATTTATAGGATACAACTCAGTATTTCTGCTTTATATCTTGATATATCTTGTTTTGGATTTCTGGGTATTCGACATCCATTTTTTTGCGGATCAAAACATGACCCATGAATCAATAGCACCATGGATCAACATGGCTATCTCCTGAAACGATCCATGGATCCATGAGATTTTGGGGCCCCGTACCGTATACTGGCGGTATCCCATCAGACAATCCCATGATGGCCATATCCCAAAAATTCTTCGACACACTTGACGAGTGACAGTCTGTTGGTAGATGATACATGTTTAACCGTTTTTTTGTTGTTGTTGCCACGTTTCTATTCCCCACGTTTGTTTACCTTAGCCCGGTATGGATCAACATTGGATGCCCCTAAGATTAGTTTCAGACATGAGAAATTCTGTCATGATTTAATCAGAGTTATTCATTATTTATCATTGTGATTCATCATTATTATTCATCATAAATTATTAATCATCATTAATATATATATATATCATAGGTTCATGATGATTTGTAACCAATACTGCCATTAACTGCTGATTTCCCCGTTAAACGGCCGTTTTTTGGCAGACGCTTTCCCAGGTGATCATTGGGGTGGTGCATTTCATGTCTGCTGTGGTGGTCATGGAAACCATCACCAAGTCGCCTTTGTTCGAGGAGGACGAAGTGGTACAGAGACCTGGCGTCGAAATCGTTGGAGAAGCAATCTATTTGTTTTTTAAGGTTGACAATGATGTTTACATCGATGTTTTAAAGTCGTTTTTTTAGATGTTTTCTTGTTTTTTGTTTTTAAGTGAGCCGGCTAGTCTTGGTGACTCAGCTGGGCTCAGGAGAATGTTTGGTTCCTTATCCTACTCGATGTTCACGCTCTTTCAGTTCATGACCTTTGACAGCTGGGCGGTGGTGGCAAGGCAACGACCGAAAAAGCTGGAGTTGACGGCTGATAACGCGAAACACATGGGGAGTTCATGGATTTCATGGGATACTTTACAGGAAAACACAGCAAAAATGGGATATCTGATACTTGGATCTGTTCGAACATGTGTAGTGATACAGAGTAATACATGTATACCCCTAGAAAACTAGAACTTGAATTGGGAAAATGACTAGTCGATTTTGGGGTACCGAAGCCCATTTTCATGGGGTGGTCCATGAGTCCATGAAGGACCCAACATCATGCACAGATGGTGGTTTTTGATAGGAAACCATAGGTTTGGCAATGCACATAGCTACAGGTCGAGATTCTGGTACCCTGGTTTTTTTCAAAGAGCTGCTAGTTGTGGATGTTTGGGAACCAATTTTTTGAGCCCATAGGTTCAAATGTATCATGGGAACCACGGATGAAGTGGTCATTTTCAGATTTTGGTCCCATCTCAGATGATTTTTGTTGTAAGTTCGACCCATCTCCATGTTGCACAGAGGTCAGAGAGGCCTTGAGTGCTTGGTACGTATATATATATATATATGTAATATATGTATATATATATAATATAATATATAATATATAATATATAATATAATATAATATAATATACTATAATATAATATAATATAATATAATACACTATATAATATAATATAATATAATATAATATAATATAATATAATATATATATAATATAATATAATATAATATAATATATATATAATATAATATATAATATAATATGATATATATATAATAATAATAACAATAATAATAATATAATAATAATATAATATATATATACAATGGATGGAGGATTAAACAATTTACCATCAGCTAGAAGTGGAGCGACAAATCATGAGAATTGTGGCCGCAGCTTTTCCTAGATGTTGATCGATCAGAGGACTAAACCTCTGTCCTCAACCAATTAATGCAAGCGATATTTGGAGTATCCCAGCCTGGCCCCGGCCGCAGTTAGCAGTTTATTTTTCCAAGAACTGGCATAACTGGCCGTGTTTTCCCGAATGCGTAGCAAGGGTTCCCGTTTCACTCTGGGGGTCTGGGGGTTGAGGGTGTGTTCGCTCGACGTTGCGTTCACGGTCGCAACCGTCCGCAACCGTCCGCAACCGTTCGTGTGAGGACCGTATGGCCGTGCCTATGGGAAGTTCTGCAGGAGGGATCATTTTTGGAGGTTTCAGACGTCTGGTTGCTTCGTTTCGCGTGGCAGGCGTGGCACTTCGTGACATTCAGCAACGTTCTGTAACGTGTCGAAAGTCGTTTTGTGTGGCAGGCGCAATACTTTTGCGACGTTTTCAGAAGATGTGTTGCATTTTTCGTGGCAGGCGCAGCACTTTGGACGTGTCCATCGTCATTTTTCCTGGCAGGCGCAGCACTTTAGACGTGTCGTGTTGCGTGTTTATTGCAAATCGCATTGGCAGGGCTGCGTCAAGTGGCGACAAGGTGCAAATTCCGTGGCAGGCGTGGCATTTGGTGCGATGTGCTGAAAATTGACGGAAGCCTCGCACGAAACATCGATTTTGAGGTTGCAAATTTTCAGGTTCTAAGGAAAACTCGTAGGAAAACGTCGATTTTGAAGCTACAAGTGTGAAAATTGGAGGAAGTCTCGCACGAAATGCTCGTTTTGGTGCTCCCACCTGTCTCGTCTCGGGTCTCTGGTTTTCCTGTGGCCTCGCCATGTCAATGGGGGAAGCTGCAAAACTTGTCCTTTTGTCATGTTGCCATCTGTGAAAATTGGAGGAAGTCTCGTACGAAATGCTGGTTTTTCTGCATCCACGTGTCTTGGCTCGAGTCGCTGGTTTTCCTGTGGCGTCGCCGTGTCTATGGGGGAAGCTGGAAAGGCTCTCCTATCCGAATGTGTCCAAGCAGGTTGTCATGTCCTTTTGCGTGGCAGGTGTGGCATTTCGTGACATTCCAACCTGTTTGATAACGTGTCGAAAATATCAAAATTGGAGGACGTCTCGTACGAAATGCTTGTTTTTCTGCACCCACATGTCTCGTCTCGTGTGTCTGGTTTTCCTGCGGCGTCGCCGTGTCAATGGGGGAAGCTGCAAAACCTCTCCTTTCCGAAGGTTTCCAAGCAGGTTGTAATGTCGTTTTGCGTGGCAGGCGTGGCACTTTGTGACATTCGAACCTGTTTGCTAACGTGTCGAAAATGTTAAAATTGCAGGAAGCCTCGTACGAAATTTGTGTTTTTCTGCATACATGTGTCTTGTCTCGAGTCTCTGGTTTTCCTGTGGCGTCGCCGTGTCTATGGGGGAAGGTCCGCACTCCACACTCTACACTCCACACTCCACCATTTACACTTTAGACTCCACACTTTACACTTTACCCTCCAAACTTTACCCTTTGCACTTTACACTCCTCACTCCTCACCCGAGACTTTACACTTCACACTCCACACTTTACACTCCACACTTCTCACTCTACACTTTACACTCTACACTCTACACTCCACACTTGACATTTTACACTCCAGACTTTACACTTTACACTCCTCACTCCACACTTTACACTCCACACTCCTCACTTTACACTCCACACTCCTCACTTTACACTTCACACTCCACACTCCACACTTTACACTCCACATTCCAGACTCCACAATTTACACTTTAGACTCCTGACTCCACACTCCACACTCTACACTATACACTCCACACTCCACACTTTACACTCCACACTCCACACTCTACACTTTACACTCTACACTTTACACTCTACACTTTGCACTCTACACTCCACACTTTACACTTTACACACTCCACACTCCTCACTCCACACTTTCCACTCCACACTCCTCACTTTACACTCCACACTCCGCACTCTACACTTTACACTCCGCACTCCACACTCCACACTTTACACTCCACACTCCACACTTTACACTCCGCACTCCTCACTTTACACTCCACACTCTACACTTTCCACCCCACACTCCGCACTCTACACTTTACACTCCACACTCCACACTCCTCACTTTACACTCCACACTCCACACTCTACACTTTACACTCCGCACTCCACACTTTACACTCCGCACTCCTCACTTTACACTCCGCACTCCTCACTTTACACTCCACACTCTACACTTTACAATTTACACTCCACACTCAACACTTTACACTCTACACTTTACACTCTACACTCCACACCCCACACTCTACAATTTACAAACTCCACACTCCTCACTCCATACTTTACACTCCAAACTCCACACTCCTCACTTTACACTCCACACTCCACACTCTACACTTTCCACTGTCCACTCCACACTCCACACTCTACACTCCACACTTTACACTTTACAGTCCTCACTCCACACTCCACACTTTACACTCCGCACTCCTCACTTTGCACTCCGCACTCCACACTCCACACTCTACACTCCACCCCACACTCCACACTCTACACTTTACACTCCACACTGCACACTTTACACTCCACACTCTGCACTTTACACTCCGCATGCTACACTCCACACTCCACACTGCAGACTGGTAACAGGGGAAATATGTACAGCAAAAATGCACCAAATCTCAGGAATTCATCTTCGCGCAAGGTCGCGCAAGCTCAGTTTGAAAAATTGTCCGCGCGCAAGCTCTCATTGTGGTCGCGCAAGGATGGCGCAAGCAAGGATTTCGCGCAAGGATGAATAATTTCCATTCAGTTTTAATTGAAGTTTTGAACACCGCTCAAATAAACTATTGCAGAAAAGTGTTCTGCGTGATTGCATATCCATGTGTTTTGACATCTGTACCATTAACATACGTGTGAGCATTCGGGTTCGTGGGCTGCATCTTGTTTTTTTCAGAAGATCACCAGCTGCAGGCCTATCATCTATGCCATGCCGGAAGCAGCCATCATCTTCTTGTTGTTCATGGGCATTGCCAGTATCGTCTTGTTTAACCTGATGACGGCCATCGTGGTCAAGAATGCCTTTGACGCCTCAGAAGCTGATGAGGAAATGCTGGGAATATCTGCGAATAGCCATGAATGGTGCTATAATACGTATATTGATATACTGTTCAATATGTAGCTACCAACATCCTACAACACTGCGTAATTTTTTGGTAGATGATGGTACATGCAAAACGCTACTAAACATGGAGCATGTAGCAGTGTAGCTGTACCAAAGATGGGAAGAGACAACCATTTGCTTAGAAGGCTCCTGGGAAGCAGCTCCCAAAGTGATCCACATGATGATGGGCTCAAATCCCAAAGATTTAATTGTGTTTCGTGCGAAAAACAGGCTGAACAACCCAGATTTGCAAACCTCAATCGAATCCAGCAATGTTTAAAAGCTATCTTATTTTTGACCATACTTAGGAGAATCTATCTACATAAATCAAACATAAACATGATAACATGGCAATGGAAAATCACCCCAGTCATGTTCGCTGACGCCATCGCACGGCGCAGGAAGCGAAGGCTCAACAGCAGGTGCAGCAGCAGGCGAAGATCGCGCAGGATCTGCGCGCCATGTTCATCGCGCTGGATGAAGATGGCAGCGGAACCCTTACCCGTGAGGACTGCCGAGAGCTGGGACTTCTAGGGCTGGGGGGGAAATACAGTATGTGAGAGTTGAAGCAAGTTGCACACAGAAACTTACAACATATCTGCAATTATCTGTACACATTCATGAACATATAGATCGATAGATTAGATAAGATAAGATAAGATTAGATCAGATTAGATTAGATAGATAGAAAGATAGAGATAGATAGATACATAGATAGATAGATAGATTAGATAGATTAGATAGATTAGATAGATTGGATAGATTGGATAGATTAGATAGATTAGATAGATTAGATAGGTAGGATAGATAGAATAGATAGGATAGATAGGATAGATAGGATAGATAGGATATATAGGATAGTTAGATAGATAGATAGATAGGATAGATAGATAAGATAAGATCAGATTAGATCAGATTAGATCAGATTAGATAGATTAGATAGATTAGATCGATTAGATAGATTAGATAGATTAGATAGATTAGATAGATTAGATAGATATTACATATGTGATAGATAGGGTAGAGATTTGATAGATTGGATAGATTGGATAGATTAGATACATTAGATAGATTAGATAGCTTAGATAGATCAGATAGGTAGGATAGATAGGATAGATAAGACAAGACTAGATTAGATTAGATTCGGTTAGATTAGATAGATTAGATAGATTAGATAGATTAGATAGATTAGATAGCTTAGATAGATAGGATAGATAGGATAGATAAGATAAGATAAGATAAGATAAGATACGATAGATAGATATGTAGATATCTAGACAGATAGATAGGTGTGACATCGGTAGATGGATGTGACATGGGTTACCATTAAATCCACTCTTTGTTTTCCATCATTTTCCCTATTAAAAAAACCGTAGAGGTATAAAGGCAATCAGACATATACAAATTGCATTTATTTTCAAGCATGGGTTACATCTATTAATATACTGAGAATTGACCAAACTATTTATATTAGGTGTAATTATTGGTTGTAAATTAATAGGTGTAATTAATCACAAATTAGTAGCCTATTGTTATAAATAGACTTATTGTCGATCAATTTAACACCCTGTTACAAACCTATTGTATTACCTCGAGTGTTGCGGCAAGAACGATTATCTTGGCAACTATAATATTCTTGATTTTTATCAGCAAAAAACATAATCTATTTTTATCGTATGTTACCATCTGGCTATTTAACATAACCATGGAAGCCATGGCCCATAGAAATAGATTGTTTACCTATTGTAAATGCTGGATCTTTCCATGGCTATGTTAAATAACCATATGGTATATCCATTAATCTATTTTAATCTATTCATAATATGTATAACCTATTTTTTATAATAATTTTACTATTGATTTCATGTTTGCATAGCCTGTTTTCACATCTTCCCCCCATGAATCTTCAACGCGCCGGGCGCCGTCCTGTGCGCCAAGGAGTTCACGGATGTCTTGGACGATGTCTTGTTCATCCGGCAGATGAAGGCGAGGTTGACTGGACGATAAACAAATAGCGGGGTTTGTTTAATGCTGGTGATTTATGATGGTATTTATAACATGGATGTGATTTGGAAATTATTGGAACATGTTTTTTTTGATGTTTTATTTATATAGATTCGCCACTATTTGCCACTGCTTATTGATTATTCAAAAAAAGGCCTGTGCTACCTGGGGCTACCTGCTTCAGTGAAGCAGGTAGCCCCAGGATTCAGCGGTAATTTACATTGGGTTGCCTATCAACCAGTATAATGGGATGGGATTTCATTCAACCGAGGTTGAGGATTGTCGTTTTGCTGGAATCTCATGAGATGTAGATAGGAGTGTATATCATTGTATAAAGGACTATAAAGGTATCCATGTATGTAAATGCACACTTTTAACCATTTTCAGCGTGTTACCTATGTTAATTCTTTGGACATCGAACTATCCATCACAGTCAGTACGAGAAGAGATTGGCATTGACCAATCTTGTGTCGCCAAAGTAATCATTGCACTTTCAGTACTTCGAGGGTCCAGGTATCTTAATATGATATTTATATAATACAAGAATGCATTCCATCACTACATCATATGACCCCATATCATATATAATATTATTTCCAATATTTTATGATATTTACATAATCATATTCAGGTTGTGATATGGAACATCATAATCATTTATAATCATGTTACATAAGTCTGTTATCATGTTACAAGTTATGTTTCATATCATGTATAAACATATCATTGTTCCATATGATATAACATACATATATGTACACGTGACATATAAATAATATATATATAACATGTACCAGGATCTTCAAAGTGACCTCCAATTGAGGTCCCTTAGAGATTATTTATCGAAAGGTTACTTGAGACCTGAACAAGGTCACTTGTGATACTAAGTGACCCTTTGGGATATGCTATATTCTGATATTTTATGATGGTTAGTTGGGGAATTAATAATGTTGGGGATGATTGGACGTGAAGGGCAGCTCCGCTTGCTTCTTCTTGGCACCTGCGGCTCAGGTGAAGGCACATGAGGAACATGAATGGACATTCATGTTGCGGCAGGGGAACTGGTGGGATGGCGATCTATATGTAACATGATGCCCCATCGACCAGTGAATAATGAAAAGAAACACCCAATCAACAACCACCGCTTTGGGCTTTGCCAGTTTGCAGCCATGGCATCCACAGATGAACCCTTGGATGACCCTGGGACTTTGTTGAAAAATCTCTCCTATGAGGGCCAGCATCTTGGCATAATTGAATTGTCACTCGGGAAATTCTTGTTCAGGATCTATCAACTAGAACATAGGGACTATAAAATTGGCACACAAGTGGTTGGATGGTTGGATGTTGGTTCAATATTCCAATCCCATATCCCATCTAGCAACACTATCTCAGGCAACTTCGCAAATCCATGGAGAAGTTCATGCCAGAAACCCTGAAGGAAGATCAAGAGTTGGTTCCTGGTGGGGACATTAGGATCTGTGGCAATTCTTGGCTTCGAGATGCCTTTGAATATGCACAACTTCAGCGGGTTCCTCGTGAGGGAGAGGTAAGAAGGGTTGTCCACCAGCTTGCCACTATCCATGATTTATGCAACTTGGTTTAACGCATATTCTGTTACGACAAGGTTCATCTGATTGTTGTTGTTGGATTGTTTTGATCCTTAGGCCCCTGCAAAAAGAAGACTGAGAAGGAATCCTGGGTACGAGAACAAGCCCCATTGCTGAAGTGCTGAAAACTTGTTTGTTCTGAAAAAACATTGTGCAAAAAAATGGTTTAACACACCATTTGTACATGTGTTGAGGCTGGGCGGTGCCACAAAGTTATGATACGCCATAAAAAAATGTCCTTCCGTTCATCATCCAGCTCAACCCGATCACTGTCAACTGTGTGACTGGGAACTTATTATGTCACACATGCATGCACTTGGTGTAAACATGTTCATTGATCATCACCACTTTTGTATGGATCTGAGGAATCCCGATGAAGTGGATACGTTGCCAATGGACTTCTCAGTCTTGGAAGCAGAACAGATGTTCCTTAGGCAAATTAATATAGTATTCCATGCCCTCGCACTCATGTACCAAATATCCAAGGTTGCATTCTGGGTCCATGGACACCATTGAAACTCCGGATGATGACGGTGAGGCCATTCAATATTATTGTCCCAACCACTAGTTGCTGAAAATAACCCAGCCTGCTAATAGTTGAATGATATGTTACGGGTAGTCCAATCACCCAAATGCCATCTCCAGCTTAAGCCTATCATCTCCTAGGGTTATTTCTCCAAATCCCAGCTCTCCGCAGGAACAAAGCAACAAGGACGATGAAGATGAAGGAAAAGGAAGTAAAAAGCGCAAAGCACCCCAAAGTGAAGACGAAGATGAAGACAATCGCAGTTCAAGTTCGAGCGAGGAAAGCGAGGCTGAGGAGAAGCAGGAGGATGCAGGAGAAGAAAGCAACTCAGAAGTTCCCACAGCAGAAGAAGAGGAGCAAACTGAAGAAAGTGAAGGTGATGAGGCTGAAACCTTTGATGTGAAAGCTGCACAAGCTGAAGAAGCCTCTGCACAGAGTCGAGAGCAATCATCATCAGATGAAGGTGATGAAGCCCAGGAAGCGAATGATGAGATGAGCTCAGAAGATGACAATATGGATTCTTCCCCGAAAAAATCCAACAATGATGATGGCCAAAGTGATGCAGAGGCTGAGGAGAAGGTGAAGTCAAAGGATGCTGAAGATGAAGAATGTGATGAAGACACCGAAAAGCCTGAAGATGAGGAAGAGGAGGCAGAGGAGCAAAGAGACAAAGGTGAAGGAAGCAGCAATGAGGAGGAAAGTGAAAGCGAAGCAGAGGCTGAGGAGAAGGTGAAGTCAAAGGATGCTGAAGATGAAGAATTTGATGAAGTTGAAGACACCGAAAAGCCTGAAGATGAGGAAGAGGAGGCAGAGGAGCAAAGAGACAAAGGAGAAGGAAGCAGCAATGAGGAGGAAAGTGAAGAAGGCGAAAGCGAAGCAGAGGCTGAGGAGAAGGTGAAGTCAAAGGATGCTGAAGATGAAGAATGTAATGAAGATGAAGTCACCGAAAAGCCTGAAGATGAGGAAGAGGAGGCAGAGGAGCAAAGAGACAAAGGTGAAGGAAGCAGCAATGAGGAGCAAAGTGAAGAAGGCGAAAGCGAAGCAGAGGCTGAGGAGAAGGTGAAGTCAAAGGATGCTGAAGATGAAGAATGTGATGAAGTTGAAGACACCGAAAAGCCTGAAGATGAGGAAGAGGAGGCAGAGGAGCAAAGAGACACAGGTGAAGGCAGCAGCAATGAGAAGGAAAGTGAAGAAGGCGAAAGCGAAGCAGAGGCTGAGGAGAAGGTGAAGTCAAAGGATGCTGAAGATGAAGAATGTAATGAAGATGAAGTCACCGAAAAGCCTGAAGATGAGGAAGAGGAGGCAGAGGAGCAAAGAGACAAAGGTGAAGGCAGCAGCAATGAGGAGGAAAGTGAAGAAGGGGAAAGCGAAGCAGAGGCTGAGGAGAAGGTGAAGTCAAAGGATGCTGAGGATGAAGAGAAGGCGAAGGAAGACTTAAGAAGGTCTCACTTTGGCTGGTTGAAACGCGCAGACATGAAGAAGGTCCTGGATGAAGTGATCGACGACAAGGAATTGTTCGAGGAGCTGATGAGTGAAGGCGGCACAGACACGAGTGACGCTGAAAGTGAACAAGATGGAGACAAGAAGTCAAAGGCAAGTGAGGACGATGACAAAGAAAAAGAACAACCTGCAGACACAAAGGAACCCGATGAGAACAAATCGATGGCTAAAAAGGATGATGAAAATGAAAGCGATGATGAAAAGGCAGATGAGGCTGAGAAAGAATCAGACAAAGAGACGTGTCCTGATGAGAAAAGCAAAAGTGAGGCTAGCTCATCTAGTTCAAGCAGCAGCACAGGCAGCAGCAGTGGCAACAATAGCGAGGATGACAGCAGTGATGAGGAAGATGAAACGTCAAAAACACGTGATCTGAAAAGAAAAAAAGTGCTGAGCCAAGCCAGACCACTTGGACGTCCCAGTGCTGCTGCTGCTGGGTTTACGACCATGGGCTTGTCTGATGCTGAAGTAGATCAAGCGATTGCTTTGAACAAAGAAGGCAGGTTGAAACCCAAAGGCAAAGCAGCCCCTAAGAAGCCTGCTGCGTGCACCCGCAAAGAGAAGGCAAAGGTGAACGTGAAGAAAAAGGCAGGAAAGAAAGATGATGATGAAGACATAGAAGACGACAATGATGACTCGCAGGATGACGATGTGAAGGTCAAGAAAGAGGTGCAGCCGGGAACATGGAGTGTGAGGAAGGAATTTCCCAAATCAAACATACGGAGATGGACAACGCCAGGACCTAGATTTGCTAAGCCAGTTGCCATGCCAAGCAAGGAGGCAGTATGTTTGGCAAAAATGGAGCTTGAGATGAAAGAACTCCCAAAACCAACTCCTACCTCTACCTCTGGGAAGGATTGTGAGAAAGAGGATGAAAAGCCACAGGAGGAGACAAAGGCCCCGAAGCGCCGACATCGAACAAAGAGTGCTCGAGTCTTGTTGGCATTTTTTTTACAAGTTGGTCTAAACTATACTCAACTGGGATTTGATGGGATCGATTTAAACATGCTGGAGCAATTTTCTACAAGGAAAAAAATATGATGCCTCGATCATAATTCTGATGGATGGCATATGGATGCATATGGTCAATTTCGTACATCTTAAAAAAACAAAAACAGCAGTCCTAGTACTGTATATAGATACAGACCCTGTCATCCAACCACTCAGGAAGCTTGACTCCCGAGAAGCCAGCACCCAAAGCTGCGGTGAAGCCTTCGAAGGCTTTTGTCAAGAAGAAGAGGGAGGAAGAGCCTCCGCTAGCCGCCATTGCACAACCAGATGTTTTATCATTATCAATTATATTATTATCAGAATCATATTTATCGACTGGGTAGTAGTGATACTATCATGGGAAATATGCTTAAAGAAAAAATAGTGTGACCCCCATTCCACGACCAGCTATAGTGAAACAGATAATTTATCATTGTATACTGACTGGGGAGTGATACTATGGTGGGATACTGCTACACCATTCTACACCATTGAATCATAGAACTAGCCATGGGGCCCAGGATATCACCTTATCCCTTCAGATTTATATACGGCATGGTTCTTTTAACTCAGCTTGCAGGACTCTGCAAAGACTTCAGTGGTGGAGTGCGTTGATGCCAAGGACTTCACTTTTTCAGCCTACAAAGTGGTTATTTCCAGGGTTCAACAAGAAGCTTTGGATAGAGCCAATGCAAAGGTTCCATGTCCAGCAGACCAGCTAGCTCTTCTAAATGCCAAAAAAGGAAAGACAAAAGACAGGGGGAAACTTGGTCTTATTTAACTTATACAATTTGGAATGTATAAGTGTTTCTGCACCATGGGGATCCCAAAATAACTTCGACATGTAAGCCAACACTAAGGAAGTTCGAAGTCATTGCAACTGCTGATGCGCAGGATGGCTGGCAAATCGAGACACGGAAGAGATTGAGCGGGAAAATGAAAAACTATACCTATAAGGTCTTTATCGACCCCCATGGGACTAAGTACTATTCCCTTGCCAAGGCAGTCCAGGTTGGATTCAAGGCGTCTGCTGCAGATGACGGTCGAAAGACCCGTCACCAGAAACTTAAAAAGAAGAAGTCAAAGGCAGAGTAAAGGCTGTTGGAATTTGGGGCCCAACTCCATGAAAGCTTACCACCAAAAAAAAAACATCGACACTTGATCAAGTTGTTGTTTCAATCAAAGCCTTTGCTGCATATACACTGGCAGCCAAATGTCCAGGTGTGTTTTTGCCCATGGTGGCTTCAAACTAGGGGGATTCCTATGGGGTTTGGCGCAACTTGCATTAACAGCCGTGCATAGAGGGGCCCCCACTGGTTTATCCATATTAATGTCATCAAACATGGTTCAACTCATCTATGTCCCTGCATGGCTGTATGCTTTCCTGTTGCCATCTTTCGACATGCAGGTGTCATACCTGTAGTGATACATGTCTACCTTGACTTGGCGAAAAAAAATATGTGTCATGCAACGCGCTGGCATATGATATATGAAACATTATTTGTGTTGCTGGTCAATGCGCGTATTCAGATTGATTTATGCATGACCATTAGCGAAAGGATTGGATTTATGTAATCGAGAAACGTTTTTGGCTCCATACCTGAGCAAAAGCTCAGCCTGATGTATTGAAGTTTCAAAGGGTTAGACTTCGGGGTTAGAGCCATGAGAGCCACACACCTTCTTCCCATTTTACTTCTTCTTGGGCAAGTACAACTCCCTGAAGCTCCGAATGATTTTGTTTCCTGGTTGCAAATATGGTTCATTGATTGTTTTCCCAAAAAGGTTGATGAAACTCGCAGATGAACTTCACCCGACTCCACCCATCCAGCCCCATCCTAAGTCCTCAGGTGGAGATATGCGCAGGCCGCGCAAACCTCTCCAAAGGCCTTCGCATGAGTGGATTTAGAGGGAAAGAATTTGACGTGCCTGGGTATACCAATGGATCAATGTATGATCGTAAAAACAAATCCATGGGTTAAACTTATATTTGGTTACTATTCGCGGGTAATAATCAAAAGGAAACCCAGAGGAATAATCAGCAGATGGTTTTTGACAATGCTGCGCCACATGATAATTGGGAGATAGTTTCCATCAACCCTCAGGAATCTTTTGTTGTATTTCAGCTCAGGTACTTTACTCGAACAACCATAATCTGATGAGAACTGTTGGGTTCGTTACACTCCTGATGGCAGCAACCTGCCTGCATTTACATGGATTGGAACGATTATACCATGCATATATTATTTGCGATATGGTTTTATATAGCCTATTGCTATAAATGGTTCATTCCGGGTGTGATTTGGACCCATTGGAACATCCAAGGTACGCAATACTAAAGTTGGAGGCCTACTAGTATGTGCTCCACCATGTGGATTATGGATTTTTCTTTCTTCCTCAATCACGGGAAGATCATGGAGCAACCCTGGTGGCAATGATCGCAAGTGTGTTCAGCTGGCAAATATACTGGTGCGACGACTTCTTTATATGTTACTTGAACTTCATAAGGATGAGGGGCCCATGATATGATATCTTAAATGATGTTCTGCATGTCTGAACTGAGACTCTACTTCGCTGTGAAGAGGGGTGTGAAGATATTGATTGAGCAGCCACAATCCTCAGTGTCTCGCCCATCTTACCGGCTTATGTTTTAATTTCCCCCTTTTATGTATACCCGTAGCCATGGGCACTTGCAACCCAATGTAAACAACCTGGTCCCTTGCTCCTTCCGATCTCAGGTGATGTGGCTGTGGCCACCTGTGCGAAAGTTTCTTCGTTGGGCGCAGTGCAGGACAGGGCTGTGGTCTTTAGGTTTGAAAATTATCAAAGGGAATATTTTTGGTGCCATATGATAAGTGCTAATAAATCAGTCCCAGGTCAAATTTCTGTGTTTATCCTTTACTCCAAACGATTTACCACATGGTGTGCATACATGCATGCAGGAGAGTATCGTTTTGCATGGGGGACTTCGGTGCCTGCACCTTAAAACCGACAGTGCTACTTGGCTATGCTAACTTGGGTTCATACCAATATCTTTGACCTACATCGAATCATTAAGGGTTTGAGACAACAACACGTTTTTTAATATATCATAGATCCAAAAATATTTCATGAATGACATACCGTGGTGCCATTGCGTGGTGCCATTGCACTCATAAGGCTTCATGGTACCATCGAAAAGTTGGACTCGTTCAACCGGCCTCTGAATGTGCAGATGCTGAAGGAATCACTGAAGAGGACCTGTCAGCAAGCTGGTGGGGGGATCTGGGTTTTCATGTATAAACATCAACTATAAATTAGGAAAACCATTCCAATTTATGTGATGAAGTCTTCGGCCAAGTCTTCAGCCACCACAAGGCTTCAAGGCAATCGTTCCATGAAACCAAAGCATCGGAACATCTCTGTTTTGCTGAGAAATGTCAGCAGCTTCACATCCCATGGTGTAGAGCAAGGGTTTCTCAAGGTGTCCCTTGTTTCCACAGAGTGTGCACGTCATGTCGAGTGCTGGGACAGCCCTCCAGTGTCACACCTTCAAGTATCCGATCTCGCCACAGCAGTAGCAGTTCAACCAACCTTCACGCGGTAGCCGAACTTGTTACTGATGATTCCAGTTGCCCTGCCCTTCGTCCAGGATTCATGGCAAATCCCAGCTGGTCGAGGTCAATGTCGACCAATCCACGGGTGTGAAGAAAGTCAACGGAAAGGCAAAACAGCTTAAACGATCAGGGGAATACCCTCTTAAGTTTGGGTTGGCTCTGGCAGCCTTGCTTGCCCCTACCAATTCGCCACCTTCTTCACTGGACTGGGGTTGGCAAAAAATATATATATGTTTAAACCATGTTTAATCCTGTCGCCAGTGTAGCCACCACTAAATGATTCAGTGAGCTTGGATGGGGTGTTAAAAAAAAATATAAAAATCTCCAACTGATAATTGTTCGTGCAATTGTGACTTTTAAGAGTCAACTAAACAACCATAAGGGGGTTGCAAGATGTTCCCACAGTGGGCCTGCAACTGTGGAATGTATTTGGTTGTCTATAACCTATAGCCATAAGTTCTTCATGGTTATTATCCCATATTATCCTATGTGACTCATTTCATCCACATTTGTTACCTATGGGATCTATACTAGTCGGGTATAGTCGGGTGATATTCTTACCCAAATACACCGCTTACACAATTCGGCAATCATATAGTTGGGTGGTGAACAGTAGTTGATATGCACTACACATGCTTTATTATCCTGGGCCCCTATGACCATTTGAATTTGGTGGTTATTTTCCGATATATATATATATATATATAAACCCCAGATCTATACATGCATATATACGTGCATGCACAGCTAGATCCCTTACTTTCTTGGGTTATGGTGTGCTTGCCCCAGGACCTCAACATCACAGCTGATGACCCAGACAGCGATGATGATGGCTGCCTGGACGATTTATTGAAAGGCCCTGATCGGTGCCACTGGCGCAAACTTTGAGGCCTCATGGCACAGCTAAAGGGCGGTGACAAAAGTTGTGGCATACATGCATGTGTGATCATTCAATTTTATCTTTGGGCACCCTCTGGAAAACCAAAGAATTGATATGGGATTAAGGACATATTTAAAGATGCATCGGTAAAATTGAATGGTTACCGAGGTCTCCATGGAGCTGGGTTCAGGGGTTTTGGAATCCTACAAAAACATTTGAAATCCATATCATACCCACGAGGTAGTGCAGGGAACTGAGATGGTTAGATCATAGTCCACACTGTTCAATGACATATGGTATCTCTTCAGTAGTAGTTTTCAAGAAGCCATTCCAAGCTCAGAAGGATACAAGTTAGAAACATGACTAGAGAGAAATGGACCAAAGAGCAATGGATGAACTTTTTGCTGACTATCGCCCGTGAGAGAATCTGCATTAGCTGTTGGGCGCCTCAACTTGAACGATACCCACCCAGGCGGGGCACACGACCTACCAATATCATAACATGTTTCTGATTTCAATACCAATTAGTGATTTTGTATCAAATACGGGTGGTCTTTGACAAATAAAACACTGTAGTGTATGCACGATATCCAATTCCCACTTCGCATCCAGGGAGGAATATGTCATCTTGCTTGGTGTCTCGCATGACTGCCGATGTGACATTGATGAAGATGACTTGGCTGAGCGGCAGTAAGCTACGTGGCTTGCATAGTCAACAACTCAAGTGGACCTGAAATGTGTGGTCCATCGTACCATAGTTCTGTTTATCTTAAAGGGGTAGGTCCACTGGACCAAATTTGAGATGTGTGAAGGGCATCCAGGAAAAAAAAGCCAGCATGCTCCATTCCCGACTATTTGATCTGGGCCCCCAAGCCGACCAAACAGTTTTTTGATAATATTCACCTCAGCGTGGCAATTGGTGGTTTATTTTGATTTTGCATTTTTGGGTTTTTGGCTTCAAAAGGTGCGTGTCAATGCGTGTCAATCGCGTGTCAATGGGACATTTTGATATCAAAAAAGAGGTCACTTGATATCAAAGAAAGGGTCACTTAGTAATCTCAAAGGGTCACTTTGATATCAAAAAGGTCACTTTGATATCAAAAAGGTCACTGCCTATGTCGAGGGGGGAGCGTGTCAATTGCGTGTCAAATAGTGGCTCGAAAACGGCATTTTGCCATTTTGAGAAAAGTCCTACGAAAGCCTTTGTGGAGGACCATCATATTGCCAATGCAATTTATAGTTTTTTTTTTGGTAATTCATCATAAACTGCATGGGATGCCCTATACCCGATATACAATAGTGTATTCGAGTAATATATATCACACTGCGCAGGACTGATGGGAAAAACACAAGCCCCAAAGGACAAAGGTAAGGCTTCTACTGCTGCAAGTTCAGCAGATACTTTCATGAATGATGATGAGAAGACCATACGGAAGAATAAGACTGAGAAGGCAAAACTAAAGGAAGTGACACCAGATGGCCCAAAGACTGAGAAAGATAGCAAGAAAGGCAACAAGGCAGTGGCACCTGAGACAAAGCAGGACAAGCCAAAGGAACCAAAGAGTAGAGACACTGAGAAGAAAGGTGAGACAAAGGTGAAAGCGAAAGATCAAGGAGGCGAAAGCAGCAAGAAAAAGGAAAAGACGCCTGCACTGCCAGAGAAGGAAGGCCAGAACACATGCAAGACAAGCAAGGTGGCTCACAAGGAAGGTGAGAAGGCACCAGGCAAAGACAGCAAGAAGGACAGCAACAAGGACACCAAGGAGGATCTAAAGAAAGGAGATGATGCGAAGAAGAAAACAACTCAGAAGGTGACACCTGAGGGAAAGACTGAGGAGCTGAAGGTGGAGGAGAAGACGACCAAGGTTAAGGTGTCAAAGAGTAGAGACACTGAGAAGCAAGGTGAGACGAAGGTGAAAGCGAAAGATGAAGGAGGCGAAAGCAGCAAGAAAAAGGAAAAGGCGTCTGCACAGTCAGAGAAGGAAGGCCAGAACACATGCAAGACAAGCAAGGTGGCTCACAAGGAAGGTGAGAAGGCACCAGGCAAAGACAGCAACAAGGACAGCAACAAGGACAGCAACAAGGACAGCAACAAGGACACCAAGGAGGATCTAAAGAAAGGAGATGCTGCGAAGAAGAAAACAACTCAGAAGGTGGCACCTGAGGGAAAGACTGAGGAGCTGAAGGTGGAGGAGAAGACGACCAAGGTTAAGGTGTCAAAGAGTAGAGACACTGAGAAGAAAGGTGAGACGAAGGTGAAAGCGAAAGATCAAGGAGGCGAAAGCAGCAAGAAAGACATTGATGCTCACAAGCAAGATGAGAATACAAAGGGATCACAGACCAAGAAAGCGGAGAAGCCTCTGAAGCAGACACGGCAGACCGACAAAGAAGGATCTGCAGATAAGAAGGAGACCAATGAAGCTGGAAAGACCACTGATGTAGAAACAAAGACAAGCAAGAAAACACCTCAGAAGGATGACACAAGTGAGGTTGCAGAAAATAAAGGCGATTCACAGACTGGCAAGAAAGCACAGAAAAAGGAGAAGAAAAAGGAGAAGCCTTCAGGTTCTACTCAGCAGAGTGAAGCAACCGCAGCTCATGAGAACACCAGCAAAGATGATAAAGCAGGTCAAAATGCTAAGAGTACCAGGAAGAACGAATCGGGCAGGAGTGGCAAAGCGGGTGAGGCAAAGGAGATGGGGACGCAGGAAACGCAAGCACCACTGGGTGATGGTGGAAAGCCTCAAAAAAAGAAGGCAAAGCACGATGACTCTGAAGTTGAGGCAAGGGAGGTAGAACAGGAAAAGGAAACACGTGAGACGGAAGGTGGTGACAATTCCAAGACTGGTGGATTGAAGCAGCCCGACGAGGAGGACAACAAGAATGACAGGAAACATAAGAAGACAAAGAAGGACAAGAAAGAAAAGAAAAATACTGATACGCAGAAGGGCAATCCACACGACACAACACTGGCACGTCAGAAACCACTCGCACTTGAGGAAGTTGAGAAGTCAAGAGAAGCCACCAAGCCCGACCAGACCAAGAAAGCACCAGCCACTCAGCCAGAGAAGGCACCAACCACAGTTCTAGCTCTGAAAGATGTGACAGAAACAAAAAGCAGAACCAGTGTCCCAGAGGGCGCTGAGGCTTGCTCCAGTGATCAAGTGATTGAAGTGTCACCCGAAAAAACAAGGAAACCCAAGAGAAAGGGAGAAGATAGCACAAAGGAGGATTCCACCACTGCATCCAGTGGGAACCAGCATGTCAAACGACCCAAGCCGTTGGCAATTCAGGACAAAGCAGAGAAGCGAGACCACAATGGTAGCCATACGGGCTGCTCTCCTGAAAAGAAGAAGCTCAGGTTTGACGATGCGAAATCAAGTTCTGACGAGGATGCTGAGGCTAGGCTCAGAGTTTGACTATCACTATACTATATATTAAGTCAACAAGTATTGTTACAGGTTACTTGGGTGCCTATAGGACATCTTCAAATTTGTCAAGTTGGGTCGACGATAGTTCTATGAGTGCTGTGGTACTTGTATATCTTATTGTCAAATAGATCCCTTGGTTTGACCATGCTTGACTGCCAGGACCCACCGTCCGATGTGGCTTCGCCCAAGCCCCCAATCGAGAGAGTGAGGACCATGCCAAGCTTTCTTGGTGGACTGGCGTTGAGCCCCACTTCTACCTGTCAGACGGGAAGCCAGGCCAGTTTGAACTTATCTCAGGGGTGTTGTTGGTGTGGGTTGGCATCCCCTGATATTGATGTCAATTTCCAATAATCCAAACACTCACACCCATTAGAAATTTTAGGACCAAAGCAACCGATGATTTTTAGCACAACCTGATTGCAGGGAAGTACTCCAGGAGGAGATTCAAGTGTCAAGGGTGAGAAGAAGACCCGGATCCAAAAGTTAAGCCAGGAACAAAAAGATGCCCTGGAACAGATGGCATCACCAAAGGATATGCCATATGATGAACGGAAACGGCAGTACTCAGCCCTGAGAAGGGCTGTGATCAGGTCATGTGAGCCAGCGCTCCTTGCTAAGTTCAGCTTGAGTTCTGATGGGGAAAGGTGGGGATGGGATGGTGGAGTCAAGATAGTTTTTTGCATATATCATAGAGATCCCTTCATATCCCTTCTATATACTGGGGGCGGGATCACATATCATATATGATATATCGAGCCATCAAGGAATCATATAATCTATCGATCAAAAGTATTATTCTTTTAAACCTCAAAACCCCAACCCCTATATGCCCCAGAGTTTTCCCACTAGGTGGTCCATGCTGAAGCAATGGCTTCTATCCGATGGAAAGATCGATTCCATCACTGTTGAAGAGCGCTTCACGAAGTGGTGTGAACAGCTTCGGACAGACAAGTACGTAACGGTTTTCTGGATGCACTATCCATTAAGAAATGCATTTAATATCATGTCACAAGCCATCCCAGGTGACAAAGTTGCAACTCTACAAAATCTACGGGCGCTCGAAAGAGGCCAAGGCTTTCGTGGAGTCAGTTACCAAGGGAATCCTGGCTGGAACTCTAAATTTGTATGTTATACGATGCAGCCAGTTGGAAGATGATCGAAATATATAAAGTGTTGATTGTCAAATATAGCTAAGGACAAGTTGGAGTTCCACATCCTCAATGTCCAAACAACGAGGCTGCAAAAATGTACAAAGTGCTACGTGAAGTAGCTGAAAACACTAGCACTGGAACCAGGGGAGAGACCGACATGCGGGTGGGTGGCAGAGTTAGGTCTGCCTCTATGAAAGAGATGATCGCCAAGCAACTTAAGGTTGGAATGGAGAGTCTTGAATCCCAGTCCCAAATGGACCTTAAGACAGGAGTTGTTCGAAGTAAGAAGGCAAAGAAAGAGAAAACGCCAGCTCAGACAGCCTTGGGGGAAGCCAAACAACTTCTCACAAAGTACCCTGATTCCAATTATGATCTATAATATAATTACTGTCGAGATCTGTGGATGGTTTTCCATCATATCTCAAAGGTCCCAACTAGCCCATACTTGATGTTATTGATGCCTAAGGTACAAGAGATGCCTGAACGAAGTGCCGCAGTGCATGGATGACCTTTCAAATCTCAAGGTTCGCAACTATGAGGAGCTCGTGCCTTGTCACAAATATAACATGTTGCGTATGGGAACCAACCCTAACCCAACAATATCCCACAATGTTGCATGGCTACCAATTACACGAAAAAATATTATAGGGTCTTAACTCGATCCCTTAAGTATATGTGATATCATTTATGGAAATCCTAGCCTAGGTGCGTGTTCTCGGACTACACTTTGCAGACTTACCACGACTCTGTGATGGTGCCAATGACCAGGCATCACTCCCTGTTTCGCAGGCTGATCCCGATGACTTGTATAGTTGGCTAGATACCCAAAAGCCACTTTTGGCAGTGATCGAACAGGATCTTAGGGACGGCAAGCGCAGAGTGTCAGTTGCCAAGGGGCCCCGCAAGAGGGCTGCTCAGGCTGACGACACTGAGCCTGTCCAGAGCAGCGAAGCAAGTGGTTCCGGGGAGGATGATTAAGCAATTGAAATAAGTTGGCCCTTTATGATATAATCATAATCAACAAACACTTGTGCATATATACCACCAAAGGTCGCAATGATGGCATCATCCGCTCCTTATGGGAAATCCACCATGGAAGCATACATGTGTATGGGTGTGTCCTACTTGACCCAAGTGTGGTCATTGAGCGAGTCACTGCAAGTGCCTGTCAAATTATGGTAAATATTGGTAAATTCATTTTGTCAGGTGAAATCTTTTTCAGAGTTGATTGGATATGTTGTTTCTAATGAGCGATGATGGGCACTTGACAATTGTAGAAACGATGACTTTCAGCCAGCACATGGGTATCATTCAAACTGAAGATTTAATTGTTCGATGTTGTAAACTTCATTCATATTGTTGGCTGATGGTGCTGTTTTGACATGGGGGTTTATATCAGCTACCACGTTCGATGCTGATATGTTTATGGGAACACGATCCAATAAACGATCGTGCACCAATCTTCGAAGCGGAGTCGTCTTACATTGACATGTGAAAGAAAACAATTTAGATGATCTAATTTCACCTCTACCAGTGCCAAACCCCAAGTTCCCGGCCTCTGTCAAGATGACAGTTGAGATGGGTTCCTCTGAAGCAGCCTGCATTCACAAGCTGTGTATCTCTTGTGGCTCTAAAGGTATGGGGTATATATGCATATCTTAGAATATACAGCTGAAAATATATGGCATATAACAGTTGATGATGTGGGGCTATTACATAAAACAATGGAAGTTGGCCCCGAAAAAGTTATAAGGCATATGAAATGGAGATTACATTAATGGATCATAAACCAAACCTCTAAGTGACAACACGCACTTGAATTACGTTTATGGGGATCCAAGGGAAACCCGGCATTGACTCAATTCTGGGGACCCATGTGGCTTTCCAACGAAAGCTCGGCGATTCACCACTATGGATCTGGTGGAGGAGTTTCTAGAGCTTGGGCGCAAAGTGGCTTGGCAAAAAAAAACTTTAGATTAGTATACCATTGGTGATTGTTTCCAATGATCCAATGAACCTGTGTTCAAAGGTTGATGAACACCTAGGTCAGTGTCGAAACTATCATGTCTATGTTGAATATTATTCGAAGACGATTCCCAAGAAGGCTTTTACCGTGACTCCAGCTGCAATCTATGCCATTGGAATCACAGGTTCCGAGTATACTCATTGTCACTTTTTTTTTCATAGGATACCATCTATCAATCACCCTCCCAAGGTCAAACATGCGAGACCTGTTGCGTATGGAGAGGAATGATGAAAAAAATGCACAGAGGCTTTTCTGGCAGTGGGTATCTAGACAACAGTGGAGACGAATGCTCCCCAACCCGATTACGTGTCTTGACAATAATGACAGTATGTAACGCTACTCTGTGCATCATGAGCTAGCTGTTATATGGTTCAAACAAAATTTGGTTTGACACCGTGCTAGCAGCTAAGGGTGGAAGTTGTACTTGAAGATCCGTCCCGGGAGAACAAGTACTTTATGTCCTCATGGCACATGTTCTTACCCAGTGATGTGAGTCATGGCTCAAAAGATTGTATATGTGCATGAGTGTGTGTGTGTGTGTCTGTGTGTTTTCTGTGTGTTCACTCGAGGGGTGTATGAGTGGGTGTTTGCCTGTTGCTGATCCAAGGTTCTCGGCTATCTTCCACTATGACGAGAAGCTGTTCCGACAACGTTTTCTAGGTGATGATGAGTCGGCAACTTGTCATAGACTGCATGTGGTGGGCGTGTAGATGTGGGATGGGGATTGATGATAGGGATTTGTGATGCCCTCAAGGCAATCATGCGATTCTGGAACCACTTTCGGGACACAGAGTTCTTCAAAGAACACCCCATTCTGAGTGATCCGGCTACATGTCTGCAAAAAATGGCGCATGCACATTCTTGTGTAACGTGCTGGTGAGACTGTGAGCCATGGATGTATGCATGGTTAGTTTATGTGCAACATTGAGGCCACGAATCTATCGAAATGTGTCCCTTTGATCTTGCATGGGGATGACGCGGAGAGTCACAGAAGAAGGTCATTTATGATTTGTTCTTTTGCTTCCCTACTTGTCAAAGGTAGCTCACCGTGGGAATCCCGGCTGCTCTGCTACTGTCTGGACAGCTCCAAAACGTGTGACGAAACGTTGAACACCATGGACAGCTGGATGGTGTGGTCCCTTGTAGAGTTGATGTCGGGGAGGTATCTGGACAAAGGACCATGGGGAGAGACTGTTCCTAGCCGAAAAGGTTTGGAAGGGAAGGAGTTGGCTGGGGGTTGGAGAGCAGTTTTGTGCGCCCATCGTGGTGACGAGAAGTATCTGGCCAAAGCGTACCACATTGGCGTCTCTTGGCTATCTCAACAGGTATGCTGGACATGCAAGGCTTCACGGATGTCAACATCAAGTCTGTTATATACCCATTTTGGACCAAATGCGCAGCATCGAACAACCTTCTTAACAACCAGTGACTTTATACAATTGTGCAAGCCCAATCCATGGGTGCGACTGCCGGGGTGGCATGTGGATGTGATGACATATGATTTACTCCATGTCTTTGATCTCACACTTGTGCCGGATGCGGCAGCTTCAGTTTCTTGATTGCATTTCATTGTGGGTGTGCATGCCATGGTCAATGCAAGGTCGATGCATGTTTTTCGTATGCAGTGATTAGCCCATCAAAAGAAACATACCCTCTATGCAGGCTCTGGTGGAATTGACACAGACTGATGAAGTATGGGCAGGCATGATTGTGTTTATGTGCATGCATATTATGTGAGTCAGGGGTGCATTGCGTGTGACTGTTTCACACTAATTTTCTGTGCATTCTATAGCGTTTGCTTGTTCGCAGGATCAACTGTGGACGATCGTTTACAAACAGCTTATGCTGAATTCACCAAGTTGTGCAGGACTCACAAGATCCGAATCTCATTTTGCATGTGGACCCAATATGACACGATATGCGCGTTTTGATGGTTTTGTTTAACTATATACCCTAACCACTCTCTGTCTGCCATGTTCCCAAGGAAACCGTGGGCAATTCTACAAGTTGCTGCTGGGTGGGAAAGTGTGCTGGGGTATGCAACTGTGTGCCAGGTGTTTTTTTTTTCTGTGTTGGTGTCGCTGAGCTTGCATAAGTACTTAAGTTATTAAGTCTCAGGTCACATATGCAGGGTGCAAAAGAGTATCCGACCCTGGCTCAGAAACATTTCAATGGATCAGATCGCGCCTTAGTGTATGTGCCTTTTCTAGGGGCATGTGAGTGAATTCTGCAAAATATCACATATTGAAAAGTGCCTTTGTTGTTTTACTAGCCAAGGAGTCTGTGATTCTGGCGAGGTGGCTTATGGGTATCACTTTGGCAATTGCTGCCAAGTGTCCGGATGACTCACACGCACAGTAAGGGTCACAGCTGCACTGGTTCTAGTATGTTGTAGTGTGATGTCACTTGAAACACTTCAGAAACACACCATGGAAAGTTGGTGATCCCTCGGGCTAGGTTACGAGCTGCATTATTTGTGAATGCAGTTGCAATCCGTGAAGCATGTTCCCTCCGGCATGGGATCATTCTGGGATCCGAGTGCTTGCAAAAACTGCAGAGTGCAAACTATCTCTTCCACAGTGCCCTGAACAGTAGCTTAGTGGCACACTATGTTTTTTGTAATGGGATGGGATGGTTGGCTTGGGCTGTGTGAGTATGTAATATGATTCTTAAAGAATATGATTCTTAAAGAATACATTGGTGTGTGTGTGTGCGCGCACACGCGCTCTGTGCTGTTCTAAGGTCTAGCTGCAGAAGCTTTGGAGCAGAAACGCCTTTTATGGAAGTTGCGACCGAAGCTGCACAAGCTACTTTGGCCGCATCAATGAGCATGGAAAGATGTGGGAGGGTTCTACTGGGAAGGGATTGTCGCCCAGCCAAGGCTTGACCATATTTGCATGGATCAAGCGCAAAAGTTTTCTCCTATGCACACATCGTGCTACGGGGACGAGGACATGGTTGCTTTGATGTACTTATTGGTGCTGGTGTGTGTTTGTGTGTGTGCGCACATGTCACTCGCTTAAACTTCTAAGTCAAAACTCTCAGCATCCCCAGATACTGCAAACACACGCGTAGGCTTAGCTAGCATATCCTAGTCAAAAATCTCACCCCTTACATTCCCTCACCAAGGTGGGAAAGGTGAAGCAATTTGCTCTGCTGGCGAATGGGCAGTTGTTAGGCCGACAGGTCTTAATGCGATGGGCGGCATACTGTTGCATGCCTTTTTTCTGAAGTCATGCCTGCCATTGGTGGCAGCATTTCTGGCTTGGGTAAGCCTACGAGGTTTGAAGAAAACAGAGAGATCGATTTCTTCTGTTCCAATTGTGCTGAAGTGGTTGGCGGGGTCACCTCTCCTGACATGGTTCTGAGTGATCACCGTATCTTGGAGACAACCGTTGAGCTCCCGGTGATGCGACCGTTTCGTGGTGTCATTCCCAAAGGTCCCAGGTTCACTTGTCCGTCAGACTGCTCTTCTGACGCTTGGCGCGACAGGTTGTCGTCGGCCTGGGGTCAGGCCAAAGAACAGCTTGGCTTGGAACAGGTGCTTGCTGATTCTGGTAAGTCTGTCCAAGAAAAGTGGGATCACTTTCAAGCCACTCTACGCTGCTGCTTCTTGACGGCCTTGCATGCTCCGCTCACTCCTGTGCGGCGCTCCAAATACAAGGGTGCGGTGGCTTCTGTGCGGCAGGAAACCATGCCTGCCTCTGGCAACTTTGTTCCGATGCGTGAGCGCAAACTGCGCCACCGGCTGGCCCGTTGGTACGAGCTGAGCCGGTTGAGGACCAAATACTATACCGATGAACTTTCGGTGTCTCAACGGTATGAGTTCCAGCAGCTGACCTGGAAGCTCACTGGATCTTTTGCTATCCCTTCTCGGCAAAACATTCGTGCTACTCTGGCGAGGCTGCAATCAGACCTTGGTCAACTTCGTGATCAAACCAAGAACTCCAACCTGATGTCCTGGCGTACCAAATTACAGAGCTGTTCTTCGCATGTCTCTAAATGGCTTCGCAGCAAAGAATGGAGCATGTGTAGCGGGGTCATTCGTACTGATGGCACGGTGACTGAGAACTGGCATGAGGGCTCTGAGGCCATCAAGGCCTTTTGGGAATCCTTCTGGTCGGACCTGCGTCGGTCCATCCCTTCCTTCTCGCAACGAGAAGCTGCTCTTCTCCATGGTGTTCCTGCTCCTGTCCAAGCTGTTAACATCCCATTCCCCACTGGTCTTGAGTTGCAAGCTACTGCGCAAGACAGCCACGGTGCTGCGGGGCCTGACAATTGGACTGCTCAAGAGTTGAAGTACCTCCCTCTGGATGTCTTCAATACGGTGTCTGAGCTCTTTCGAGCCTTTGCCACTGCCCGGGATGTGCCGAAGCAGCTACGGCAGTCTCGCATGGTTTGCCTCCCCAAGGAAGGCAAAGTTCACGACTACAGTATCAAAGCTGGTGATGCCCGGCCAATCAGCGTCATGTCTGTGTGGTGGCGCCTTTGGAGCTCATCGGTCTGTCGTAGCACCTCCCTTCGTTCCTGGCTTCGTTCTGTGCTTCTGGCGAATGTTGGTGGCGTCTCTCGAGAAGATATTTATGAGAACATCATTGAGATCTTTGACAACTTCCACAAGCATGGTTTCATGCTCACTTTGGACTATAGCAAGGCCTTTGACTGTCTTGACAGCAACCTCTCTTGCAGCTTGCTTCGTGCTCATGGATGGCCTGTTGATCTGATTCATTTATTGGAAGCAACTTGGCGTCAGCAGGAGCGATTTGTGCAATGGGACCATCATACCCATTCAAGCACCTTGGATGCGAGTCGAGTCCAGCCTCAGGGCGACCCTTGGGGACCGCTGCTCATGAGCCTGTGGGTTCAAGCTGGGGTCCAAACTGTTTTGCAAACTTGTGAGACACCCGAAAGTGACATCTCCATTAAGACTTATCTTGATGATCGTTCCTGTACTGCTAGAAATGCTGTCAAACTTCATGAGATCTATCTTGCATGGTCGCAGTGGAGTTCTAGTGTTGGCCTTTGTGAAAACTTGGCAAAATGTGAAGTTTCAGCTGTTGGCAAACGCAAAACTGAAGATGCTTGTCAGGTCTTCGATCCTTCTCGTGTGTCCCCTGCCATCCGGGTGCTGGGCGCTGTGTCCTGCTCGGTTCGTCGGGCCTATCGTGATGCGGAGGTTCGTCGCTTCGAAGCCGCTCGGAAGTGTGCTCGGTTGTTGGGGTGCTGTGGTTTCTCCCTTCCCTTGCAACTTCGGTATCTCCGTCAGTTCTCCCTGTCTAAGGTTAATTTCGGTTGGGTGGCTCGCGCTCCTACTTGGACCTCTTCCAAGCAGCTGTGGTCCTGTTTCTGGTCTTCTGTGCGTCGGTGTCGGTACAGCAGTCCTTGGCTCCGCTGTCTCTTCCTCGGTGGGAACCTGCACCTTGATGTTGTTTGGGCTACCCGCCTCCTCTCTGCGGTCTTTCGGTACCATCTGTCCAAGGGTTCTGGTCCTGTCTGGTCGAGTCACTCTGGCACTGCCTCCAATGCTCTGCGTTCTTGGATGAAGGCCAAGGGCTTTTCTGAGGTCCGTCCGTGGGTTTGGCAACATGCCTTTGCTGCGGTCACTGTCGATGCTTCTTTGTCCCCTTCTCGTCACACTCTGCCTTCTCTGTCTGGTGCTGCTTGTCATGCCCTGCGGCAAGGTTGGCGTGCTTGGGTCTTCCAGGAGTGGGCGTCTTCGGGTCGGCATGAGATTTCTTCTCTCCCTTCCTTGACCTCCTCTCTCTTTCGTTCCATCCAAATCGATGATGTTCGTTCTTGGGTGCTTTCTTCTGCCCCTGCTGCTTCGGTTGGGCTGGGTGCCACGTTCTCTCCTGCCACTTGGGATCGCGTCTCCGGTGTCGGTCATTCTTCTCTCTGCCCTTGGGGGTGCCAATCTGCTGGGTACTGGGATCACATCTGCTGGTCTTGTAGTTGTCGCCCTGCCCATGCTCCTGATAAGCCTGCTTGTGCGTTTCTTGCTCGTTTCGGATGGACTCTTTCCACTAATCACCTTGACCCGACTCAGGTCACTAAGGTCCGTGGCTGGCTGACGGAATGTCAGTCGGCAATTTGGTCAGCTAAGGACCACTAAGGTGGTCCGCGCTGAGTGCCGCATCTGGTTTGGGCTGCTGGCACTACTTCAAAGTGGTCTCTCGGCATACTGTTGCATTCGCTGGCTACGCCGTCTCGAATGATATGATACTATACCACAATGGGTCCCACCATAAAGATCTTAAATTGCTTTATGAATCACTTTCCACCACTCAGCCCATGAGATGGCGCCTCCACAAAGTTGTCAAAGGCAACAGCGTCCAAGATGATCAGTGCACAGCGATGGAAATGGAAGGGATGGATGGGATGGATGGGATGGAGATACCCTATGGTTTACCACAATATCCCTTGATGTTAAGGATCCTACCACATGAGGTGTATTTAGGAATCCTAAGTGACCCTTTGATATATCTAAGTGACCCTTTGGAAATGGCTAAGTGACCCTTTGGAATATAATTGCCTAAGTGACCCTTTTGGGATATGGATATATCAAAAGGTCACTCTTACACTGCTGGTATGCATATATATATAACATATATATAATATATTTATATATCACATAGATACGATGTGTTCCATATCCCAAACACTCAAAAACATCGTCGTATCATCTCGCCGATGGACTTTACATGGACAGGTCCTGGACATCGACCTGGAGGAGCTGCCGGACATCTTCGACATTTTGGACGATGGCAATGGCGCCATCACCACCGAGGAGTCACTTGGTGACCTATCCGTGACCGATGTGTAAAAAACGGCCGTTTGAGGGAGAAAATGATGAAGTGGGGGTATAGTGTATGGAAGTCATGTTTGGATTAGGCATTAGAGATTTTGTGCTTTTTCTAAGGTTACTGAATATCTCAAAGAGTATTGAATTTGATGTTTGCCGCTGGTCTACCTTGAATTTGCACAAAGATTTAACAGGTGATTGAAACTAAAGGATATTCAACTCTTTTTTACTTCCACTCCATTCTATCTGAGTATATAATAATGTAATATATATATAATGATAATATATATATATATATAATTTAGGGCATAAAGTGTTTCACCGCCCCCACCCAGTGTTTTCAAGTATTCTATATTTGCACGTTTCTGAGATGTTGTGCACGTGTCAGAGATGTTGTGCACGTGTCAGAGATGTTGTGCACGTTTCCCAGCAGTTGTGCACGTTTCACAGAAGTTGTGCACGTTTCACAAGCCCCCTAATAATGTTCGTGTTCAACTGCATTGGGGCGACCAAACACGTTCTCCCGATAAGTTGAAATTAATATAATATGTAAAATAATATATATATATATATGCATATATGATATTGCATGTATTACCCATGACGGATCCATGGTGCTGGTATATTAATGCTAACAAAAATGGGGTATATTGATGGGATCCATGGCACAGCATATATACCAGCACCATGGATCCGTCATGGGTTATAGTGCCATCGTCCCATGGCGCAGGTTCTGCTTGGGCCTCACACGGCTGCAGGGCGTAGCGATGAGTCGCGACATGTTGCGCTGCACGTCGCGGAATAAACAGCTCAACACGCGCTTCGACGAAGTCCGAAACTGCGCCTTGGCGTCACTTTTCCACGTGACGCAGTTGACCGGAAATGACGAGTTTGGGCATGATTTATGATAATTCACCATGTATTAACTGGGGATGTTGTAAGTCATGTATCTGAGTATGTGTAAACCTGGTGCGTGGATATGTCATTTTGCCATTAAAGATAGCGATTTAGGTATCAACATTGGCTGGGTAGTGAAACAAAAAATCAGAAACTGTTCCAAAAAATTGGACCAATTTTAAATTGGAAACGCCGATCCTTGGGACCAACATTCTCCTGCTTGTATCTCACCCACTATCGGAAGTTCCACAAAATGAGCATGCGGCGCCTTGTGAGGTTGATAAACAATGGATGTTTTCTGAGTTTCACTGTGGAAATCCAGGAACACTTCCAACCATATTTATGTTTTACGCGGAACCACAAGTTTCATGATGAACAAAACATGTTCCAAGAAAGTCTGGTTTTTGCCCACCTACCACTGTAGTGAAAGATGTTCATTTAAGTATCCCCCAAAGAAACACATTTCATGCTGACCCTGTTTTCCAAGTTTTCTTTCACTTTGTTCACGCAACACAAACGTGGGTATTTCGCGTCACCAAACAGCCAAAAAGCACCATGGATTCCCCAGGGTTTCTCCCTCAGCCAGGTTTGGGAAACAAAGTGGACAAGGCCCTGGCCAACGTCGAGCTGAGTCTCGAGGAGGCGAGGAGCGGCTCTGCTCATCATTTTAAGGGGTTGCCCCCAATGAGAAAAATCGATTAACATTCCATTAAAATGGTTCATATATGTTAATCTACCCATCAAACAATGGTTAGTAACGGTTAGATATAAATCTGTATTTGATGCCAACAAATCCATGTTCACCAAAAAAATGACATTTTGAAGGTATAGGCTAGTATAGGAACCATTTTCAGACACAAGCCAAAAACATATATGTTTGGTTATATATCATATTATAAACCCATTATCTCCCCATCAAGTGGTATTATGCTGCTATTCTACTATATTATTATACCCATGATATCCCTAGTATTAGTAGATTAGAATAATATTCGGTAGATCAAAGGTCTACTATATTAATCTATATTATATATCACTAATTATAAACCCATCAAACAATCAGTGATTCTTTGTTTTTAAACACCGTGACTTTCCAGATCTACCCTCTGGTAATTTAACAGTTAGCTATTGAAAATGGCCCAGTCGAAATAGTGAGTTTCCCCAGCTATAACATGGTGGATCTTTTCAGTTCGTTTTTTGTATACGTTTGCCAGAGGGTACCGAATGTAGTGGCTTGATGACTGGAAACCATCGGCGGGGCGGTGCCAGGCACATGTGAACCTCGTAGAGATGCAGCAGATGACAGCCGAGGTGGGTTCCCATGTGAGGGACCTAAGAAATTCATACGATGGTTTTTATAGGTTTTTATGGTTTTTATCGGGTGAAAATGGGATATACCATGGATATACATTGGTTTACTATGGGGTTTCATGATGGTTAATCATGGTTAATGATTGTTAATGATGGTTAATGATGGTTAATCATGGTTAATAATCACTGGTACCCATCATGTTAATTAACTCATCATGTGATGATTTTGTGTAACAACCTCGAGTTTTAGGCATTTTGAACCGTGGGAATCTGAGTTTGATTTTGAACAAATCCAGATGTGTCCAAATGTGATTGTGACTCCCATGGTGTGTTCAGTCGTAGAAATATGGGAATCAAACCAACATGATTTGCATGATCCAATAGAAACAAATTCAAATTGACTCTGTGACCTTCGAGAACACCCATCAGCAGGAACCGACCTCGTAAAATTTCAGCGCATCCAAGCCAGTGGGCCGAATAATGTTTGGGATACGAAGAATTCTCCAGCAATTCTAAGATATGAAAAAAGCGTGCCCCTTAGCTGTTATCCAGAGGCTCAATGTTATGTTCTTGCAGTCAATGGCAGAAAAAGTCTGCCATTGTTGCTGCAACCGCAACTATTTTGTTTCACAATACCTCGAAGAACCATCCATTTCCAGCTCCCATTGGCTTCATAAGTTGTGTTTCATTGTTTTTTTCATTCGACACCTTTGATTGAAAAACCACACATACAACATATATATATAATATATATATATATATTTACATACAGTATGTCATGGGCATATTTTGTTGGTCCGTCAGCTTCACCCACCATAGCCACTCCTTGTGCCGTTGCTTCCCTCAGGTCCTCAAGAAGTTGGAAGAAGAAGGGCTGCACCAAGCCGTTCGCTCCACCACCACCACGCTGGAGGAGATTCCCCCACCCACCTTGGATGACCCTTGGATGGTTGGGGTGATTGCGGATGAAACGCGGAGGTTGGACGGAGGAGTTATAATATATATATATTTTGAAATTATATACAATATATAATATAAAATATTTAATATTTAACATATATAATATAATATAATATAATATATAATATAATATAATATAATAATATATATATATTATACAATATATACAATATATATATATATATTATACAATATATACAATATATATATATACAACATATACAACATATACATACGTACATACATACATACATACATGCATGCATGCATGCATACATGCATGCATACATGCATATGATTGGAACGTTGGAAGATATTTGGATAGTTGGAGCACTGCTATTGGGGGAAACTGACTGGATGAGGAACTGGGATAGTTTCATACTGGGCATTTGGTCATACAAAGCAGTGATGATTTTGTTGTAGGATTTTGAGAGTAGTGGTGTCAGCAATATCCGTTATATTCCTCCATTGATCATCACTGGCTTCATCCATATGTGTTGATATAGTACATTTATCCCCATCCCATCCAACATATCCTTTCCAATACGACATCCCCAACACTTCTTACTGACCCATATCTACATAATATATAATTATATTATATATAAAACAAAACATATAATATAATATAATATATAATATAATATGATATAATATAATATAATACAATATAATATAATATCATATCATATTTAATATAATATAATATAATATACTATAATATACTATAATATAATATAATATAGTGCAATATAATTTAAGATAAGATAAGATATGTAATTTAATATAATATATATTTAATATATTATATAATAATATATATATATATTACAATTTAATATTTACTTTAATTTAATATTTGATATATAATATATTCTATTTAGTATTTTACATATAATGTATTATATGTAATATATTATATATAACATTGTATATATATATATATATACATAAATGGTACATACAGAATTCAGTCTTAATCCAATTCTCAATCAACGTCCCATCCAACCCAAACATATAAAACTCCATATACAACAATATATAATTCCTTTATATAATTTATTCCATCCAGTATGTATACAGATCGTGGGATAATACACAACATACATTGTTATCCATATGTACATGCATGCATGCATGCATGCATGCATGCATATATATATATAATGTTATATTATCAAAAGAACTATGTATGTATGCTGGATAATTGCATAGCCATATTTATATATATATATATACATACACATACCCACATATAGTCTACAATATCTCATCCATAGTCAGTACCTCCACCGCCATCTCCAGCCTTAGAACCCCATATGCAATCAGCTATCATTCCCCACATTTATATATATATGCATATATGTACAAATACATAGACATAAACCTACATTTTTCTATATAATTATATATATATGGTCAATGGTCCTTTCCAAGAAACAAACCTCTACCTTTTTCTTTATCTCCGCCCTTAGGACATCGCCAAATTGGAGGAGGAACAGCAACGCCAGCGCGACCTGGCACGTTTCGGCCGTGGCCAAGCCAGCACGCGCAGCATTAAGACGCCCGCGGTGGCCAAGGAGACGCTCGCTGATCGGTGATATCCGGTGATGGATGAGGATGGCCACGGGTGCCACGAAAATATGGGGAAAAAATGAGGAAACACCAAGTGAAAATGTGAGAAATATATGAGAATTTCAGCTGCATATGGACTTTTACCGTTTACCCATGGAAAAACTAGGGATTTAAGAAAAATTAAGCATGCAGACAGTGGGGAGAATAACAAACATGTTTGTTCAATTAACGAAACTGTGGGGATTCACCGTGAACATGTGGTGAATTTAAGAATGCACATGGGAATTCAAACATGAAGGATAGAGGATTTCAGCAAGAAAGGGATAGTGAGTCAATAAAGGGATAGTGAGTCAATATATGTAACCATCAAACATGGGGGGCCAAATAGTCAGTAAAGACAGAGACCTTACAATCCTTACAAGCAAACATGGGGGTTTATATAATTTTCACAAACATTGAGGTTGAACCAATCTGATCTGGAGGATTCGCTGATGGATTAAACCGAAGGGAGGGCAGGGGCTGCAACAATTACCCGGCCTGGTAAACGTTTGCAAAACACGATGGAAAGATCCACCATTTTTTATGGGTAAATCCACTATTTTGACTGGGCCATTTTCCAGTTCGCAAACTGTGAAAGTTTACCAGGCCGGGTATTGTGGTGATGGCGATTTGGAGTTGAAAAAAGGCTGGTGGGTTTTTCTGGAGGATATTCTACATCGAATCCAAGGGTGATTTCACCCAAGCAGTAGTTCCCTTTCTTGCCGGATCCATTGAATCATTGTTTGGTGGTTAAATATTGAAGATGTTGAAAAGATGATGTTTCCAGAGAAAATGAACAAACTGGTTGGTGCTTTGGAACACGAATTTTATGACTTTCCATATATTGGGAATGTCATCATCCCAAGTGACGAACTCCATCATTTTTCAGAGGGGTTGGTTGAAACCACCAACCAGCAAGGAACTTCAAGGAACCTTATCAAATGAAGCATCAGTTTGCAACCGGATGGGGTTGCCTTTCGTGTTGATCCAGCAGCTAAGGTCCTACGAACCGATTCCCGCCACCTGGGTCTTGACCCGACGGAAAAAGCTGGAGGAGAAGCGCGAAGCCGCGGATTTTGTGCTGTCTCTATAACTATATAGCTGGTGAAGTAACACATCTATGGAAAATCACCATCGTAATAAGTAATTTTTCACTCTTTCTATGGGCCATTTTCCAGTTCGCTATGTTTGTTACTAGAGGGTATATGACTGGTGCTACGGAAAAAAGTGACCATGCTATGGATTTTGCTGCATTTGCCATGAAAAAATATTGCAACTGCATGTCCCATGGTCCATGTGTGAAGATCCACAGATCCTGCCGGAGAGTGTTTGACGTGGCATTACCCATGACGGATCCATGGTGCGGTGCTGCTAGATTAATGGTGCTCCATGGATCATATCAAGAAAAACCCCAGTCATGTTAGCAAATTTCTCCCAGCACCATGGATCCTAATTATGGGTTTTGGAAGATCCATGAACAGCATTTGTAGATGTTTCTTCCGAATCCTGGAAGTTTCCTGAACGACTAGGTCTTCAATTTCAAGCTGGAAGATCCTACAGTAGAACCAGTAGCCACTAGGATGAGCATTTCCTTCCTACGGAATCTTTATGGTAATATGGAATATTGATAAACGCTGCTTCCACAAAACTATCAATTCATAAGTCATTCATAAGTCATGTCCAATAGTCATTTTCCCAGTCGAAGTCATTCTTCCAGGAGCGAAAACAAGCCATGCGCGCCCAGCAGTGGGAAGAGATCGCTCCAGATGTCTCAGAGACGCTGGAGTTGCCTGGCGTGCTGAAAGAAATGCAGGCGCCCCCCGGTGCTGCCTGGTGCTGTTTTTCATGGACTCCATCTTGGAATGATCGTGATACCGTGATACATCGATGTAGCATATAATTGATCTGGGTAAATTTCATCACGACCGAAGCCTGTTCTCCCGAGCCCTGGAAATCATGGTTAATGTTAGGGGAATCATCCCCTTTTATGGCCGCAAGATTCAGGTTAGTGAAATATTATCATTTACCCAGATTGATGTCAATATACATATTTTATACTAGTGTAGAATCTTTTGACTAATCATCACTAATACCGTTGTAATCTTATATATCATAGATACATCAATGAGTATAGACTATATATATATAGCCTTTTTTTAGCCATGCCAGGCTGCCTTTTCTCTTGTCATATATATGTTTCTACATGGCGCCTGTTTCCATGACCGAGCCGGCACGCCAGGCCACATGGCAAACACACGAGCTGCCGGTGCTACAAAAGACGCGTGAGGAGCGGATGCTGGAGCTCAGCACCAAGGCGCCCTCGGCACAGCATGGCATGGCCATCGTGGATGAAAAACAACGGTTTTTTTGGATATCCAACTGATGGTTATGTTACAAAATCCCAAGATTGGGATAGCTGGATCACCAACTCAGATAGAACCATGGGATTTAGGCCAACCTTGGCAGGTGAAAGAAGTGAAAGAGGAGAAGATTCTGCCCGCGAAGCTGCCAGCAGTGTCCCTCTGCCGGCAGTGTTTTGGTTTGTGAGTTGGTGAAGTTTGATCAGTTTTCCATTTCGAGTCTTCATAATATGAACCGATCCCACCAGAAAAATACCAGACACACATATTTTGCAGGTCCAATACTAAGCAGGTCATGTCATAAACTGGATGAGTGAAATCCCCCATGAAGATCCATGATAGCTGCAGTTTGTTCATTGCACCAATTTTCATGAGTTTTACAGCATTCATTAGATGTCCGCCTTTATTTTGCTCGGGCGCAGAAAGACCTGCCTTCGCCGCGGCAGGTTGGCTCCGCGAAGGATGAAGGAAGAGGAAGTGCAAGCAGCACAGCAGACGGAGAACGGAGAAACACAGGAGGAGGTGAAGAAAGATGTCAACAAAATGAACATCAAAGAATTGAAGGCTGGGAAAGATGAAACAGAACTTGCTGGGAATATGCTGGGCATGCTTTGAAATATTGTGAATGTTTGATTGTTTCTGGAAACTTGGTAGTTGAAGGCTGCGAATGATGAAATGTGAACCTGCTTCTCTTGGAAGAGCTCGGAAAGATCAGTCGGTGGTTGAAAGATGTGCTACTGCTAGAAATATCTGACCTCAAACAATGAGATGGCCAACCACTCGACGTGGCACTGCCCAACATTTTGGAGATTTTTGGAGTTCATGAGAAATATTCTGTTATATGATGCATTTCATATCTTTCATGAGCCGAAATTCACTCTCAAATACCCTCTGGTAATTTAATATAACTATGGAATATCACCATTTTTAATGGGAAAATCCACTATAAATGGCCATTTTCAATAGCTATGTTAAATTACCAGAGGGTATTCCCTGTCATTCCGATGTTGTTCCGGCACCATCGTACCACGGGACCATGGCCACAGGAAATTGCCGAGAGTTTGGGCTTGGAACACGAGGGTCTCAAGAAGGTGCGCAGCTCGTTTTCGGGAAAATGTGGGAAAATGTCAACGCTGAAGCCATGGGTTTTGCCACTTTGGTTGTTTTGGTGAGTTTTCGAATCGACCAACCATTAAGTAAATAATTAACATCAATATCATCAATTAACACCTCGTGGTGATTCATGTCAATCATCAAACATAACCCCAAAAAAAACCTATCAACCACCTCTTGGTGATTTTTAGATATCAACCACCAGGTGCAGCTGCTGCCACTGGTGGTGGCCAAGCTGGAGGAGGTGCAGCTGGCGAGCCAAGGGAAGGCGCTGATCTCCACCCTCTGAGTGAGCAGCGCGCGCTGCGCGCCGTGGCTGGATGAAGGGATGGGAACTGAGATGATGATGATGATGATGATGAAGAATGTGATTTAAAGAGGATCATATTCAGACGTGACGATAGACAGATGCTGCAGTTTCCCTTGGGACTCTTGGAGGATGATGTTTGATGTGTGACCCTAACCCATGATGAGACCGAGGTATGGCCGGCGTGGCCGAAAACGGCGCATTGTTGTGAGGCAGATCTTTTCGACAGCTCAAGGCTGTCAATTCATCGATGATTCGGTTGGAGCCGGTGCTAGAAAATATCGCTTGGGCCTCCTGATTAAATCATGGAGATGGCCCCAGCAGTATTTTACGACGCGCAAGTCCTGCATGGAAAAAGGGAGGAGGGCTCTGCAGAAGCCGCGAACGTGGGTCGAAAGTCGGTCGACCTTCCGGTTTTTCGGTGTTTTGTTGGTTGCAAAGCGCCTTTTCTGACAGGTGAAGGTTTAGTCATGTTTAGTCAAATTAGTTTGCAAGCAGGTATGTGTTGTCACTGGCAAGCGTGCCGTGTTTTGTTTGGCGTAACCTTCAATGCTAAAGATTCGTGCAACGTCGCTTGGTTGATCACCCATGGGGTGCATACAGTGATCAGCTTGCCACGGAATGACGTATTTGTTTGTTTACCATTGTTCAAACACACAATTCACCATCATTTATACAATACTATTTGATCACTCAAAAATCATGTTAAAATGTTATTTTGCCCCACATTCACCCATGTTTCACAAGAATGTCATTCGAACATCCATGACGGTACACATCATCCCATTTACATCATTAAGCATCATTGTCTTGGGTACATTTACAATCATTTACAATCATTTACATCATTTACCACTTAAGTGACAAATACGAAATTGTTCCCATCACATCATCCACGACCTCCGACGACCTCGGTTACGATAGGAGCTGGTGGAGGATTACAGTCGCGGCAGCCGCAGCGCCAAGATCTTCTGTGTGAAGGCGACGGCAAAAGCGACGGCGGCAAGTTACGGTGACGGTGCCAAACGGTGCAAGGATATAAAATGGATCAAAATGGATATTTGATGCGAATATCATGGGGATTTAGTCAACAATATTTGCGATTGATCCAATAAATAGTGGATTTTAATTGGATTTTAATTGGATTTTAAAACAGGATGTGCATCCCAGTCACTAGTGGTTTGCATGGAATCAACCCAATTGTATATGGGTTCTTAGAAATCCTTGGGGATTTCTACCACCTCGGGATGCACCCTCAAGTAGATTTCCAAGTAGATGTCCTCTATATAAGTCAGTCACACCAGGACATCATGTGATCCCATGATGCATTCTTCTGAGATAACAACGGATAATCAGGGATTTTATTACCCCATAGGATCCGTGTATGCGATATATGGTAACATTTACCATCAATATACCCCAAATGTTAGCATATATACCATACATGGATCCTATGGGTTACGGAAGTGGGTTTTCCCAAAATTCTGGATCAATGGATGGTTGTGAAAGGACGTATTGCTTGATGGTTGGGAAAAGGCAAACATATCTCAAGATTGATTGACACGGAGATGTTCCGGATTCTATCTTCTAACAATATATAACATGTATAGATCAAAGTTATTAGATATCCCGTGAAATATCCCCATGAAATACTGGAACTGAGCCGATCCCCTGGTGTGCTGCCGGAGGATGTGGCTGGTTGTCGCTGCCGGGACGCCTGCCTCTACCTGAGCAAGAACGACTGGGACCGGCGCAGCATGGCGCAGCGGGAACTGGTGGGAGGTGAGCATGGCTTTGTGAGAATGTTTGGAATGTTTGGAATGTTTCCCAATGATTTCAATATATATATATATAGTTTGATATAATTTAAAATAAGAGGTTAAGATTATATGTTAATATGTGCCCGAATTGACACAACTAGAGATGTTGTTTTTGTTTTTTGTGTAAGATATCCAAGATTGGCCATGATTAGACACGAGGGTTCTGGTTCGATGAAGCAGGTAAGGGACCAGATGAGTCAACCCCGGGTGAAGAATAGATTTGTTGCTGAATAGGTCCGGCCAACCATTTTCAATCTGACAGAATGCTGTGTTTTTCACTTGTTTTTATAGTCACAGTGAATGTCACAAAAATCTAATCAAGTATTTCATGTTCTGATGTTTCCCCCATGAAATTACACTTTTGATCACTTTTGGAGGTATACTATACCATTCATTTTCAGAGCCAATTTCTTCCAAACCTGTTGGTTCGTTGATGACATCGTCAGGATGTCGAGGCTGCATTACAGAGTTTCTATGAAGCACCGACCAAAGTGGTGGAGGTGGGAACGGTGAAAACCATAACACCGATCAGCAGCAGATTTCATAGGGATTTCATTGATTTCATAGGGAAAAAGTGGGATTTCACCGGACACATTCAGCAGATTTCAGCATTGTTTTCGTCATTTGGAGTAGGATTTCACCATCTAACCACGGGGTTGCCCGGTACTGTATCAAATTCGGATCGCAGCGCGACAATAAGTTGTTGGTGAATGAGGAATGCTTGGATCATCTTGGATCGGGTTGGGATATGTGTGGCCCAAAGGGGTTGGATAATCATGGATATCTCCCCAAAGCAAACTCATAGTTAGATGGAATATGGTGGGTGAGTTGTTTGGGAGTATGGTGTGGTGGAAAATCGAACATTGTCCCAACCAAACGATCAGAATATAACCCATTAAAGCTGTGAGACAACGACAACATACGACAACCGGATAATGTTGGATAAACCACAATGCTAGGTGGGCATAGGTTAGTTTTCTTGATATGTTTTTTCTGTAAGTAGCATCGAACATGTCAAATCAAGGCCGCCTAGGATCTCTCTTGTTGAAGAATTGTATCTAAGACATTCCAGGATTAGATACGAACAGTCTCAAAACTTGTCAGCTCTGGTCATGCCAAAAAACCCGGCCTGGTAAACGTTCAGGCCGTGAAGCCTGCTGCTTGGAGCTCCGGTGGGGCAAAGTCCTTGGGCCAAAACAGGGGGACGGTGAGGTTCCCCTTGGGATCGGTATCTTCCTTTGGGATGGTCAAGGTTACCATGGTGAGAATGTGATTGGAACTCCCAATCATAATGAGATTCTATACGGAGAGGAATTTGGGGAATTTGCTGGGTACTTGCAGATATGGAGAATTGCTTCAGCAGCGAATTGCAATTGTGATTTGAGAAAGATGAAGATTCAACATGCACACACACAAGCATGCTTGGATTATAAGCAAGACATGACAGGGATGATCACCAGCAAACCCGGGTGTTCAGAAGGGAAATTGCAACCAACAGATCGCCAGCAAAAAGATGTGGATTTGACCAACGAATGTTGGGACTACAATCATCCCAAAGAGGGGTTATCATCAGCAAACACATTTCACCAACTGATATGGGGATTACCAAACCACATTGGGAGCGAAATTGGGAAACTTAAATTAGTAATGATAAAAGTTGGTTGCAACTAACCACAAGAGATAGGATTAGAAATATGAGCAATGCGGATATATGCGGAAATCCTAGCAGATCCTAGCGATGACCGGGACCAGCGGCTCCGTGATGCCACGATATACTGTGAAAATCCGGTGACATTTTCCGTCATGGGTCACCTTGACCTGGTATAATCACCTAGATGATAACACCCATGATATTCATGGTTATTCATAGATTCTACTCACCTGTGGTTCCATGATATCTGGTATCACCTCTAGGATATACCTATTTATAGCTAGCTATTTATACCTTTTATTTCACCACACTGTGAGTGATAAACTCATGGATTTGTTGAAGATCCACTGCACCCGGGGCCGCGATGCTGAGGCTCAGACGAAAAGAAGTCGACTGCCCCATTTGTGTGGACAGCTACACTGCAGGCGACGCTTCTGGCTGGTGCGACTCAAACTTCAACACTGTCGTTTTGAGTGGATAATGAATGATCAATGGTCAATTCTTTTGGAGCTAGACCTACTGCAGATCGAGTGGCTCAAGCACAAAGGAGATTCTTACCATTGATGGTAGGGGGGTCACAACCCCAACATTTTTCATGCCCCCTTTAAAGCAATGGTCACCCCAAAAGCACCCAATATTATATACTTCTACTTTTTTGTTGGTCGGTTTCGTGATTTGTCCATGGTTTGCCTATCATAATCCTTACCCAGATTGATGAATCTCTTAAGGATGGGCTGCCATCATTCGGAGCGGATTTAAGGAATGCATCTTTTTTGGGTCCCCAACGTGACACCATGTGACAACTCACCGGGTCAGGTAACAGAGCCGTCATGACGAAGTGCTGCTTCCAAGTCCTCTGCGCGAAGTGTCATGGTCGACTCACCGATTCCACAGGCTGCCCGACAGAAGATGTTTCAGACTATATATGGAATATCATGGCATGTTTGACTGTACAAATATATCAACATATCTGATTTGATGGGATATATAAATATATAATTTCAAAGGTTTTGTTTTGTTTCCCACTCCATGTCTTGACTTTTGACCCTTTCCCAGATGTTTTGTTCATTTTGTTCCGTGAAATGCCATTAAAATCAGCAGACAGGCAATTGTTTATTATGTTTTAAAACACGTGTACTATGGTATTGAGAATTTGGATGTGTCCACCCGCAAAAATAGTGGATGCTTCAAAAATCAGTGGTGGTTAATATCCAAGTCGTCTTGTGTGGTTTATATGCACATTTTAGAGTCGAGACATCCCTGGTGAAGCTAAACATGTCCATCGAATCTCCCAAGTTTTGAAGTGCCACGGCTGATATCCTTCTCCTGTATTACCCTCTGATAATTTAACATAGCTATGGAAAATCACCATTTTTAATGGGTAAATCAACTATAAAAGTTTTTTTTTCAATAGCTATGTTAAATTACCAGCGGGTATCCTTCTCCTGTATTACTGGCACTGAAAAAAATGCTTAATTTAATGTCCTCAGATTGCCGCTGAAGTTGTAGTGGACGAACTTGAATAACGCGCTTAAAATACTGGTCAATTGTGTGAGGTCTCAATATGAACTCCAAGTTTTTATAGTTCATCATCGTTTTCTCTATTTAAAATGGTTTATTGATTGCGGCTCAAGCCCTATTTTGACCCAGACCTAGCTTTGTCTGAAAATTGGGCACTCCAAACAAAAAACATCCAGTGGTTTAGCATCATATATTCCCATGTTATCTGACACTATGGGAGAGATGGATGGACATTATCTTGATTTTGGAACTTATAATCTGACAATAACTATGGCTAACTATTTTATAGAGGTGGATATGGCGATATTCCGATGATATTCCCATGTTCCCATTGTTGGACACCCCCAAAGAAACCCCGCCTTTCCGCGACGGTTCCGCACAACGCAGGGCGCCTTTCCTGCCCCTTCTGCCGTGGTGCGGATGGCTTGGAACGGCTGGATGTTGAGGTGCCAGGGATCGGTGGACGTCCGTGACCGTGGGAACATACTTACCCTCTGGTAATTTAACATAGCTATTGAAAATGGCCATTTATAGTGGATTTTCCCATTGAAAATGGTGATTTTCCATAGTTATGTTAGTTTACCAGAGGGTATGGTTAATGGAATGGTTTATGGAAGGATCATGATGATTTATGTGTGTTTTTTTAGTGGATGGATAAGTTGGATAGCTAATTAGTGGTTAATAATGGTGAATTAATGGTGGAGAAACTATGGAACAATGGTCCAATAATGGTGAAAAACAGTGGTTAACTGGTGACTTCATGGTGAACGAATGGTTGGAAAAGTGGCATTTTCTGGGTAAATTTGATCACGACCGAAGCCTGTTCTCCCGAAGCCTGGAATCATGGTTTAATAAGGGGGATCATCCCAAAATGGCCCAACATTTCAGGTTAGTGAATTATTATCATTTGCCCAGAATAATATACCACACCTAAACAACAAACATTGTCGTCGTTGTTTGGCAAATACCACACGATTTTCATAGGTCATATGTAAAAAAAGCTCGTATGGGTTTGTTTGAAGATAGCGTACTGGCCTCCCAAATTCCATGCAATGCATTGAAATGTCAATGCCATTATTTGACATTTCTCAATTTTTGGACAATGTATAAATTCTAAAATATGACAGTTTATGATTGGGTGTACCACATTGAAGGCTTTCCCTACAACAAAAAGATGTTGCAAACGTGTTGCAAAGGGCATGGGTCATGCCGGTCATGCCACCTGTGATTTGCCCGGAGACTAGTAATGAAAGATTCGCAGCCTATGATGATATTGGTTGGTGTATAGTTGGGGAATGGTCAATAAATAAACAAGTAAATAATACATATCAGAATATATATATATTATAATATACATACATAATATAGGGAAGAACCGACCTGCCCACTCAATCGTTTCCTTGGTGCTTTCATTCACATTTTTTGTTGTCCATGCCCTGAAAATGTGGTGACAACCCTGTTTGGGGATGGGGTAAAACCTATCATACCATTACTTCGGGGATGAAGATCCATTAATCTCACCTATTTTGATGCAAACACCAGGGTACTGTTTGTTTTTGACCCAGCGGCATGGTGTTCTTCCCTGGTTGGCATTTGACTTTCCGTTCTTCCCTGGTTGATTGTCCATGTCCTGGACAGAAAGAGGTTTTTTGGCACTTCCAACGCTGGATGTTTCTTCCCATTCTGCCCCTAAACTTATTTAACCAACTGAGAAACAAATGGAGCAACAGGACGTAGCTATACAATTTTTTAAACATCAATGTCTTGTGGGTTTCTATTGAGGTTCAAATCTAGAAAAACCATAGACATGGAGTATCTCAATTGACTCAACAGAACCCCACCATTTTTTTCGATACCACCGTCGTTTTCCGCGCGGGGATTCAACGACCAGGACTCTCCTCCCAGACGCAGTAGATATCGACGCTTCGTGGAGGTCGCAGGGGATTCACCAAGAAAAATGAGAAGAAGCATCCAAGTTGTAGTGGATTTTCCCATTGAAAATTGTGATTTTCCCATTAAAAATGGTGATTTTCCCATTGAACATGGTAATTTATAGTGGATTTTCCCATTAATATATGGATAATATATGGAAAATGTTGATTTATGTCTGGTTGGTGACTGGAACCATGGAATCTTATGACTTTCCATATTAATTGGGGAGAATTTAATCCCGACTGACTCACTCCATCATTTTTCAGAGGGGTAGGTATACCACCAACCAGAAAATGGTTTGTTTTATGCCATCTACAAAAACAAAAAACTGTAAATGGGCATGGCTATGGAACCACAGTTAATTGGTATGTTTTTAATACAAGAGCCTCCATGTTTGGTGCTTCATAATTTTGCGCCATGTCTACAACACTTTGGTTCATGATTCTGTGAAGGCGCAGTTCATAAAGATGCCGCGCTTTGGTTGGTTTGATTATTTGTGTTCACAGGTTGTTCTTAATATGTCCATCCTTATTGTTCATGGTCATCCAATGTGGCTGTGTTTTTTCCCTCCCAGGTTGAAAGTGCCATGCAAATTTGGTGTTGTCGTTTGCGCCTCCATGACATATATCCGTACTTTCTTGAGGCTGCCGGCTGAATTGGTCTACGGGACATTTTGAAGGGAACACCTTAAGGGACAACATGGTCTCTGGGTAAAGACTCCCCAAAAGGGCATTATTGGACCAGCCAGACAGCATCCGAATCCGATCAGGCATTGACTCCTGACATTGACTTGCAGCGTCCGAAGCTAAAAGCACGGAGATGAGCACTGGATGTTTAGTTCCAAAGTTCAGGTTCAAGCTCATTTACGCTCTCCTTGTCTCTTCCATATTTCTGGGTGCTTAGCATTTATTGCCTACCAATACCTATGATGGTTCTTCTATGATTTTCTCCTTTTGATGTTGTTCAATCCCTTTCAGTATAATAGGTTCCATGAAAAATCATTAAAGTCTCCATTTACCCTCTGGTAAACTAACATAGCTATGGAAAATCACCATTTTTAATGGGAAAATCCACTATAAATGGTCATTTTCAATAGCTATTTTGACATAACCAGAGGGTATCTGCATTTTCTCCAGTTTATCTCCTACTTCCCCATCAGTTTATACGTTGATTCACCTCAACACTGGCTCTGGATGAACTGGCCCATTTACCGTAAAATGGTGAATCTTTCCATGGCAAAGTGGAAAATCACCAGAGGTTTCAATGAAATCCTCTGAAAAATCCATGTAAATCCCCATTGATGGTGAAACATGGTAAAAAAAAAACAATCTCGTAAAAACATGCCATAAATTGCCATCAAATGCCATTAAATGCCAATGAAATTTCATCAAATCGGATGAAGTCCCATTAGATTCCAGTAAATCCTTGAACAAAAACAGGGATTTCCACAACAGAAACGATGCAAATCCCTCGAGGTTTGCAGCGTTGCCGCAGTGTACAGCAGCTGGCACCTACCTGTCACCTGGCACCGCGGGAAAGATCTGGATTTCGGGGACTTCACCGAAAAAAAATCCCATGGGATTTGGATGGTTTTCCTAGACCGGCATCAAGGGGCCATGTTGAATAATAAATACCATCTGGTTATTTAACATAGCCATGGAAAGATCCACCATTTTTAATAGGTAAACCATCTATAAATGAGCCGTTTTCCATGGCTATGTTAAATAACCAGAGGGTAGATTTAAATGATCTAAACATTGTGGGCCGTTTTTTTTGGGTCCTTTCAGTTGACAAAACATAGATTGATTCGTGAACAATACAAGAAATGGTGATTTCACGTGGAAAATGAGAGTTAACCAACATAGTGACTTTACCAAGAAAACAAAGTGTCTTCACCAACAAAGATTGGGAACTGATCAAATGAAACCACACTTTCATTGTTTTCATCAACACAGGGGGGGTTAACCAACAATACTGCTAAGGGTTTCTTCTGAATAAGTCTATTTGAGTAACCAAACATGGCTTTATGATGCTTTATGAACAATTAGGATCTAGTAGGATATTGCTAAGGCACATGGACTATTTTAGAAACCAATGGTTTTGGAGTATCGCCATTTTAGGAAACCTCCATAAATACCATGGTCACGTATATGTATACTGTCTATATGTATGCCTGAAATTCAAAACTGGCATGGAACCCCAAAGTTATCCAAAGTTTCTGTCTGGAAGATGATATTTTCCCATTGAACATGGCAAATTAACGAGGGTCGCCTCGTTGGTCAGGGTCACACCTGGAAGCCAAATGATCAGATAACATTTCTTTTGGGTGCTGGACCTCAAATTTCAGGGGTGAAGACATGATTTTTGCAGATCATTTGCGACCAGGTAGCTATTCTGTGTCAAAATCGCAGGTAATCTTTATGTCAACATGCCATATGATATATTAATATATATTTATATATATATATATATATATTTATTGCATTGCATCAACACATTAGTGGTGGATGATCAAAAGGAA